TTTCTATAAAATAATTTACAAAAATCATCTGTCCTTACAGAGCCTTATATTCGACAAATTTATAGGTGGTAGAGCCTAGCTGTGGTTAATTACTACAGCTCGAACATGGGCTGGCTCGACCGGGGAAGTACCACCCTCTCACAGAAGATCGGCGTGAAGTAGCCTTTAATGGCTGCGTTTCGTCCAATGAGTGAGAGAGCCGGTTGCCCTTTCCCTACTCCCACCCTTTCCTACAATATCCTTATTCCCACCCTTCCCTATCCCTATAAAACAAGGTTGGCAACGCATCCGCAACATCTTTGTTGCGGATGTCCATGGGCGACGGTAACCACCTTCCATCAAGTGGGCCGTCTGCTCGTTTGCCACCTTTGACATAAAAAAAAAAAAAAAAAAAAAAAAAAAAAAAAAATCCAAACTACTTTTTCACAAAACCCTTCTTACTAAATTCTTTAGTAAATAACCGCTGTTTAAATATGAATTTAAACATTTAAAGAACATGCATATATTTCGTAATACGTACGAAGAATGCGACGTAATAAATATGAGTGCCATAATAAGAAATGATTACTTACAGAGGAAAAGTCATACAAATTTTAATAGTAAGATTATGATACAACGTAACCACAAAAAAATTTAGGACATATTAAATAGCTTATATACTTATGGAATTCTCTTTATGTTATAATCGAAATAAACTAAAGTTCAAACTATTACTCCATCGCCGCCAAAGTTAAATATCACGTATTTAAATTAACACAAATGTTAAAAGTAAATTGTACCATTTCAAATCAATAAGTACGCTGTAGGAACGTGATTATACCTTAAATAATAGTGACTTTATAATGATACTAGGATTTGACCGCGACTTCGGTTATGAGTGAAACGAATGATGGCTTAAAATAATTGCCACCGATATATTTTTAGCACTTTTTTTAGCCCTAATGCCTTTGACAGCGTCACCAAGATAGGTAGGTGGCCCTGATAGGACTAACCCAAATTAATTAGCAGTTTTTAGCACTTGATTTAATAGAAAGAGTCCTGTGATCTATCGCAGTTTTCCTTCGTAGCTTTGTGATTCTGATATTTCAACAAAATTTATATAAAATCATTAAAATACGTCGGACACTATCGCGTTAACAATACTATAATAATTACGTTATTAATATTTATATTCTTAATTAAATATCGCTTTCTTTCATGTGAAAGTCTCATGAAGTCTTCGTAGTTCGTCGAAATATGTAAAAAAAAATCCGTATAAATATATGTACAAGAACAAATTTACATAAAATCTGTAATTTTAAAGATAAAATAATAGACGTTTATGTTTTAAGAAACATCCGCTCAGATAATGTGAGGACAATAAAATTGTTTGACGGACATCCGTTTTAAAAGATAAATATGATAACGCAATCGCTTATATAAATAAACTTTAAGTTATTGTTAAAATCTTTTGTTACTATGAACCTTAAATACCTAACATGTACCATATTTAAAGACTTTAATAAATTATTCAAGACTCGTACGTTACTGATTAAAACTCGTTGTACCACAAGCAATGTGAACAATAAACGAGACTTATTTCGAACAATGGTAGCAAATGATAGGAATCGCCAATACACCGATGACGTTGAAATTCGCATCCTTGAAGAAGCTATTGTCGACTATGCATCACATACCTTAGAATATTATAAATTATACAAATCGTTTCATACGAGTCCAATGGCCGCGACGTATTGTTTTATTCGCATTTTTATACACCCTTTATACAAACTTAAATCAAACTAATATTATTAGGATTATTACGTATATTATTACGTATAAATATGAAGGGTGTACATATAGTTTTAAACTAATAAAAATACAAAAAGTAATCCGAGTACTCACGAAAGTCTTAGATCCCTTCGTATAAACAAGCTTAGCTATACAAAGAATTGTTTCTTACGATTTCTAATACAACTAAAGTATTGATGTTGTAATAATGTGATTAATTCTAAGAATGATGTGTTCATTATTATTAGCTAATAAAATTCCAGTGTTCATGTAGACATGGTAACGCGAACTTAAAATTAATTTTAACCAAACATTCACGCCCTGATATCGTGAGCCTATTTGAGCATTAAGTATAAAACATGTTTATAATAAGTAAATAGGTGCCTGGTGAAAAATACACATTATTATGTAATAATGACATAACACAAATATTGTATTTTAGGAGTCGGTTCAGGTGCGAATACACAGAGAATACCAAAAATTTAAATCCGTTTAAATTTAACAGAGACCAGATGGTATTTACATTTTTTTATATCAATGACACAAATTAAATATGTTAAATATGTATGTGGGATAAATGGAACTAGTTTATTGATAAAATATTTGCGAAACTAACCGAATACTCACAACTTCCTCGATTTTGACGATAAGTACAAATTTAACATATTTTGAAAATCGTAAAACTTTCATAGTCATTTAAAGATTATACGAGATCAATATTAATAAAAAAAAATAGCTAAAAAAGACTTTTTAATATGAAAAAAAGCGCATCGAAAGCGGTCTTCTAAACACGTAACGATTATAAAAACTATTGTTAATTAAAACTTGATTTACTTTACATTAAATGTAAATATTGCAATACTTTTTTTACATAACAGCGTAGTTTCAAGATATAAACTTAATTTTCAATTGAAATCCATAGAATACTTTTGTTCTAAAACAAAAACAAATACATACATCTACAATATAATTTATGTAAATCCAATTCTGATTAAGAAATAGTATAAGTAATGTATCTAATTGCTGATTACAAACGATGCCTCGGTATTTTGTAATGAAACACAGGAAGACATAACGGGCATGTATTTTATATGTGAAGGACGGATGATCCGTGCAACGCTTTTAAATAGAGCTAATCAGATTAATATTTAAATTTTAAACAACTATACATTGTATCTGACTCGGCGTTACTATGCGAGATGATGTCTTGGGTTTTTTTTGTTTAGATGGGATGAGATTCCAATGCGTCAGGCTATAACTAAAAGCGCTTTAAGCTGCTTTTCAAATGGACGATAAACGCTGAAGCTCAGCATATAAGAGCACGTCCCAGTTATATAAAATGTTGCCACGCTGTCTACATGGCTTAAAACGTATTTTTACTAATATAATTTCTTAACGTTTATTATTTTATACGTAAGTATTGTTATAACTTACTCAATTACCTATATTGTGCAAACTAACAAATAACACCTTGAAAACCTCGCGACCATAATATATTAGACAAATATATTTATTTAAAGCGCTATTTCATACCAGACTAATAGTCTTTCTCAACAAAATGATCGTATAAAATTAATGTACATATGTGAAACTTAAAAAATAATAATTTATGTTAGAAAACTGGAATATATAATATTTTAATTTTTATATAAGAATTCTTAATATATTTTCTTGTATTATGATACTCATCAAACTTAATCGAATATAAATGGTGAATGAGGTGAAATCAAAAATTATATGAAGGCCGCGGGGCACTTTCACCAGGGGTCGTCAGCTTTCGGAGGCGCATTTGACCAGGTATACACCGTTGTTTACTTCTGCCATCCTTGTCTTTCATTGTAATTTACATCCAATTTTATATAACCGTCTCTCTCTTATTTATAGTGAAAGGTCGCCTCTGTTAGGTGCGGTCTACTTCCAATTATTCTGTTATAAATTTTTAGGCCAACAACCTCAATACAAATTTATGACATAGTTTATGGAACTCTGTATTTTGTTTCCTTATTACATATTCCGCGTAGAAAACGAAATTAAGAAAGTATGAAAAATCGTGCTCGTATTCGAACTTTCTCTTTTAATCTAAATCAAATCATTATTAAATATTTAACGGTTTATTATGTTGTTGGAATTTAAAGAAACTCGTATTTTTACTCAATTTTCTAATGTCTGAATCGTTTCAAAATTAATTTAGAAAGGATACGTATAACCTTAGACGATATAATTTAAAAATTAATTGCCTAATATAACAATAATTTATTTGTTACATTTATTGTATTAACCAACTAGCCATTCAACTAAAACCAAGAAATTTATTGATTATTTTTACGTAAAATATATGTAATAATTAAAGCATAAAATGCTATTATTCTTATACTTAATTAAATTCAAATGTCAAACAAGATTCCCCACGTTGATTGTCAAATTAGAATCTCTAATTACTTCATAACCAAATATCCTGTACCTGAACCAGCGTCATCAAAGTGACCTTGAGGAGCCTTTTGTTAGACTAAAACATTTTATGTATTTGTTCAGCCAAAAAAAATGTGACATAGCAACCCGCATTGTAACACGTCATTATGCCATTCGGTTATGAATGAGGAACGCGCCAAATAAAACGCTGGACATTTTGGGTTATTCCGAACATATGACGATTGGTGACAACTATTTCCATGACGTAATTTACTTACATACAATGAGAGTATGTACAATGTAATCTTATTCCAGGTAATCTATTTTTCACATACATATAATGTCCCATTCCAGGTAATCTATTTTCAATCAAAGTTAATCTGATTTTCCAGGAATTAATCTACATATTCCAGATGACATGTAACCTTGCGACAGACATTTAAATTGCATAAAACAGTACTGAATGGACGTGACCATATTAAGACTTCATCCGTATTGGGGATGCTCGACGCATATCAATATGCACGTAGAATATTATAACAATAATTCTTTGGATTAAATACTGAATAAAAATATAAGATCTTATAACACCATTATGTCATAAGAAAATTTGCTATACTAACAAGTTATTCATACGGCGATGTCCGTTTGAAATGTATGATTCTTACATTCGTGAAACAAACTTTTCTTTGGATACGTAGTTGGCGAAAAAAAAATCTAACTCACGTATTGATCGGAGAAATTTCAGAAGTACAAAACCTTTATTATATATACACTACTAGTCTAAAATACATTAAAATTTTACTGAAATACTAACTTACCCAAATGGAACAGTTAGTTTTATTACCTAAGCATTCAATTCCAATACATACCTTCTTATGATTCCAGAGTACATTGACAGAGGGCTTCCCGCGTCTGAAGTCACTCTGGTCGATGACGTCATCGTGTATGAGAGACGCCGAGTGGATCATCTCACTGATCATAGCCACCTGCCTCTGAGACGGCAGCAATGCACTGTACAATACAAGCTATATATAAAGCACCGAACAGCTACAGATCAATTTAATTTGGTTACAAAATTCATACTTCTACCACTGACGTCATGAGTTTTCCATTCATAAACTTCTCATGCCATGGTAATAAAATAGTTAATGCAAACTAGATACAGAACCTTGGATATAGGTATATGAGTAATGAGATTATTTGATCATCTTAAATACACTCTGCATACAAATAGATCGATGACTTATAGTATGCAATGGTAAAAGATTACAGATTATTCGAACTTGTCGTTAACAATACGGTTAAAATTTATCACAACCTTTGTAAAATTTCACAATTTTACACCTACACTGGACTTACTTGATCAGCATACTTCAATATTTATCTAAAGGCATGCTTTAAATTTGATTTACATGCTTTGCGTAAGTCATTTCTATGGTGTGTGTATTTTTGTAATATAATTTACATTTATATGTACATCTTGGTACTAATCCATATAAGTTATCTCCCGTTATGGGTTCTCATTGACTGAATCTGATTCATTAAATTAAACTGACAGGAAATATATTTATCATGAATAAAAGATCTAAATTTAATGTAGACTAAGTTATATTCAACGAAAAACAAGATTTAATTAGTAACAATGCCATTTAGTGACCTCCATAATGAATCCAAAACGCGAATTTACACTAAATTGACAAATTTATAATAATTTTCGTCGAACAACACACTAATAAGGTAAGGATAATAAATTAACACAATACATATTTTATTACTACTGACGTGCTAAATACCCTAAAAATTACATACTGTCATAAGAATTTTTTAATATTGAATTCATTTATCGAAATAATTATAAGAGTAGGTAAATCTTTTTCTTCTTCCTAGCAATTTCCCAGCTTTAGCCAGGGTCTGCTTAAATGTTGTTAATAGTTTTGGCTAATTGTTTTTACGACCGGCCGCCTGCCTGACATCAACCCTCTTTGGGAAAAGAGTAGGTAAATATATAAATAATCATAGCATCAGGATTGTAAATTATATTAATAGGACTCGTATAATGACAGACGTAGATGCATTATGGAACACAATATCATTTAATACATAAATAATTCCGTACGCAACTTCTGTTCACGCATCGTACACAACGCTTTTTAAATATTCAAAATGTGTAGGGCATTCCGCGGCAAATCATACAGCACGTGAATGTAATACATAATAAGTGCGTATAATACATATAATAAATACTTAGATCTTTATTACCGATGAGACCTCTACTAGCCAAACGTTATTTAACTAAAAAAACAGTTAAGTGATTTGATATTTGTTAAATTCAGAGGCATTTATAAATACGAAATCTCTTAGCATTCAATGAATTCACCGTGCGGGTGCCGGGTCCATCGTTGCAGGGAGAGGAGCTTCAACAGTGCCTGGGACTTGCGACCCAAGTGTCGGTGTAAGAATCCCCTATCTAACGCAGACCTTATTTAAATGTAATTCTATATCCATATTTTATATCTATTCTAGTTTAAGAACTGTTACATGACTATCAGAAATGAATGCGATATTTCAAAAAGATTATAAGTTTATTTTTAAACACAAAATAATATTGTATCATAATACATATTCATAGATATAATTACAATGAAACACAAGGTAAGACCCGGTTTCTTAAAACAGCTACAATTTTAATGCAATCTTTATTAGAGAACATAAAAAAATGCTAAATGTCAATGAATTATTTACTGTTTAAAAAATATATTTAATGTGAAAAAAAAGTTCGTTTGTCTACAAATACATAAAAAATGTACGTTTTAAATAATAAAATCTACATTTTGTTTTCTTATAATAAATATATAGGCGGACTCTGGCTAAAGTTGGGAAATTTCCAGAAAGAAGAAGAAGATACATATATAATAAGTAATAACTTAGTTCTCCCTCGAAATTTTCTTTTAACATATCGGCTCTTAGGCCTGCTATACTACATCATTTTTTTATATATATACTTTAATACATTTTGTTAATTATACCAAGCGGAGTCGCGAACAAAACTAGTATATAAATCAAACATTAGAATGTAAACGATAGATATCAAACGTCTGGAGGCCGAATCCTCCCTTCTAAAGCCACATAATGATACCGCTTTATATAGGTTAGTAATTATTACAAAACATATTTAACTTCACTCGCCTAACTGTTCAGTGCAGTCGAACGAAAGCAATGTTTCAGATCCCAGATAATAAAGCTATAGAACAAATTGAATAGAAACACAATGAACTACTTATTGCCTAACCTATTATATACCTGGGAAAAATAGATGATTAAGACTTTTTACGACTTTCTTTTGAGAATCATGTTACTTTGTGAAACATTAAATTGACTATAATTAGACTGATGAACGACTAAAATCCAACCAAATTATCTCCTGACAAATAATTTGTGGATATCAAGTGCTGTAAGGTTATTTTTAATTATTTTTTATTTAAATACAAGCCTACACTTTAAGTGATGGGTGCATGCTATCCTCAAGGCAAAGACAATGAACCTTTGACCGCAATTTGTTTTAATGAATTCGAAAGTATACCGGAGCAAAAAAATATAATAATTTTAGTCATAAATGACGCATTATACTACAATAATGACTAAAGACCACCCATTGACCTATATTTGTATAAACATTTATAATCTTATCTAAAACACTCTTACGTCCTTTGAGTAATTTACAATCGCACCCTTCATTCATAAAATATCTATATAGATGATTTCATCTATAGAGTACATTTACAAACGCACCCTCACACTCATACCGTATATGATATAAAGAAAACAAATTACCTATTTTCTCCGTATACGTGGTAATTTATGGCTTTCGCTGTCAGTATGGCCACCATCGGCCTTAGAGCCTTGCCCTGGCCATCGAAGTAGTATGTAGCTATCGTGTTCAACTCAGGCTGGTTTGTGTTACGTTCTAGTTCCTGTGAAACAACAAATATATATAAAATAATATCTAAATATACCTTATATTCAATTGGTAATACTCAGTAATCAATATATCAAATAACAAACATAGAACAAAGTTAAATATAATGTGTTTAATAACTGTTTAACATCCATCCTTTGGATACGTACCTGTTATTAAACAATAAAATTATAAATGAACTGTTTATTTTTGTAATTATAAATGTATTACAACGATTTATCGCTTGTTAGTAATCTGTAGTTTAAGTGCGTAGGCTAATTTTTATTCAATCAGTCCAAGTTTCATTCGGAACTATTGAAAATAAAGGTACAAAAAGAGGCATAATTGTAATAAATATAGAGTATATATGTAGATAGTAGAATAGATATTTACCACTCCCTATAATTTCGATAAAATTTAACACGGCCATATTACAAATCAGTTAAGGTATCTATTGGAGAGATAATTGAATCGCCGTCACACAACATACTTGACGAAACGATAGCGATACGACTTACGACACGATAATCGTATATTATAATAGAAAAAAAATAATTTCGTTTACGCCTTAATATGAGAAAAATTAAAATCTGATATGTACATTGTTCAGCAAACAAGAATGCCTAGAGCATTTTATATATTTGTAGTTTGCATTCATTCATAATACGAGAAAAATCTTAGATATTTTCAGGAACAATGAAGACGTAATCATCCAATGTCAAGTTTTAATACAATTTACACCTGAATGTTTATCAGTTGCTGTCTACGTCACAGATGAAAATTACTCGAGAAGGTTGAATTTTAATAATAAAAAGCAAAAATATACTTTATCTTAATGATTATAGAATATAAATTATAATACAGATAGCTATATTACAGCTTTCAATGGCTTGTAGCGTGGAGAGTGTTGGTTGTAGTTTTCATAGCGTCTAGCCCCGAAAGAAGGTCAAACGATCAAGTTTCACGCGGTTTCACACGACACTTTCCAACGATCTAACGCAACATCAGTCAGACATCTTAATGAAATTAACTTTGATCCAAGGTCTCGTGCTTAAGCCATATAATATTATAAATAAACAATTAACATCACTAAAGAGTTTAATTAACAAACTATAATACTGGCCACATAACAAATATGATCTTGGTTTATTAAAAGAAAAAAAAAACATAACTGAAATATTTCTTGGTACTAACTATTGGCGGTGCGGTAACTTCATTATAAAATACCACTAATTACTTAAATAATTTTATAATTATCCCCGAATAGTTCAAGGCATACAACTCTGTAAATAAACGTTAGTACTTACGTTTTCTAGTTCTTCCGTTACGTGTCTGCTAAAAAATGAATTAAGTACATCTTAAGTATGATGCGAGTGCAAGTAGTATTAGAAATAAATACAAAATATTTTTCTTGCAACTGTTTAGTAATTTTAAAATATTAAATCCAAAGAATAACCTATATAAAAGTGCTATTTTAAATTAAATTTTAACTTATAAATATGTATGTGTATGTTATAGTATTCATTAAACGTAAAAGTAACTTACTCTAATCACAGTCAAAAAAATTCGATTCAATACAAAATAATATCCAAGCCAAGGACATAGCTGAACCAACGTCCGAAACGGATTTTTGCAACGATTTCAGCGTAATATGTTTAACAATAGAATGTTGCTTTATCATTTAATGATATCTTAATCTAGACTGATCGTGGGATATGTTGGTTGAAATACTGGCTATAATCACTTTAAATCTTCTTCATCTACCTGGCAATTTCCCAGCTTTAACCAGGGCCTGCCTTACATATTGTAATTAGTTCTGGCGATTCGATTTTACGACCAGCCGCCCCTGACATCAATCCTCTTTGGGACTGCATTAATCAATATGTCTATATACTCTTAGAAAGTACATATGACTCCGAAAAATCACATTGGTACTTGCCAGGGCCAGGATCGAACCCGCGCCCTCATACATTAGAGGTGCGCCTTTTAACCACTAGGCCACTACTGGCTATAATAAATAAATATTTATAAAAATCCTTAAATAGCCATATAAAAAGTAGGGTTTAACCTACAATTTGTTATTGTTTAAGTGTATTGTGAACTGTTTGTGCCTTAATAAAGCAAAATAAAAATAAATAAAATCATAAAACTATGCTTCTTTTAAACTAGATATCTTTTATAATTTATATACAGTTTTCACAATTATAGAATAATATCTCCTAATATGAAGACGAAACTTTACATTCTCAAGCTTTCACGATTACTCTTTTAAATGACGCATCGAGTTAATCAAAAAAAATGTTATTACAAACGTCTGGGAAATGGTGGTATAGAAAATATAAAACCGGTAACTCGAGGCCTAGTTAGAGACGAGTTAAAACAAGGAAAGTAGGCGAACTAGCGACTATAAACGTGAAGACGTGGACCATTTATATAATGATTAACTGGTTCATATAGATTAGATTTTATATCAATTATTATATATAAGGCTAGTATACATATTGCTTTAGGCTGAACTTAATTATTCTTCTGCGAAGCATCAAACTCTTAATTTGTAGCATTCGATTGAAATTTATGTGAAGATAATAATTATGTTAATTCATTATAAACGCCTATTGTATCCTATACTTTATGTATTTTGACCTAAAAAGTATATTTTTAAAGTTTATTTTTATGAATTGTATTCTATTATCCGTACACCCTTCCCCAAAAGGTCATTGATCTTTAATACACTTTCAAGGCTGAACACATAACTTGAGAGAAATTCTCATAATGATATTTTTTCTCCGAACATTGAACCATGACTCAAAGTGAAAGAGAGATTGTTATTCATCACCAATATTACAATTTCCTTATGCTATCCTACTAAAATATGGTTGATATCACGCCATATAAAAATGTCCTAAATATTAAGCTTTTTTAATATGAATATATAAAAGAAATTATTTTTTATTTACTTCTCTAAATATATGACGATTTATTAGCATTTTTGGTTAGAACTTAGAAGCAAACTTGAAGAGATTCTCGTAATAAAATGTACCTACAAAAAAAACTATGAAAAGCCGTGAAAATTTGATAGTATTCTAACCCGAACTTGGCTTACACAACACATTGAGAATATCCAATTTTTCATTCATAACTCACATGCCATTCGTGAATACACCAATGAATGAAATACTGTAAAAACTCAGTATGTAGTGTGATAGTACGAACCCGTAGTAAATTTATTCACTATAGCAGAATACTCTACGGTGTCTATAGTAATCATGATGATGAGTACATTGCACAACAGTTGCCCACTCGCGTGCTAGCACGTCATGACTTTGACACACTTCTCGATTAATGGACCAAAGTGACCTATACTCTCGAAATTTACTCTTTTTTTTGTCAACACAAACCACACTATTAATTTAGTATATAAGTGTAAATAATTGACTCTGAATTTAAATTGAATCAAACTGATTGAATTTATAATTGAATTATTTTATTATTGGGCCGTTGTGATAAAAAATCGCTAGCTACGATTGATTTGTAAAGATAAAAACAGAACAGCATTCATAGAGGCACTTGTAGTTCTGTATATATAGTTAATTAATCATGTTTACTTAAAATAATTTTATTTCTTTTATGAAAAGATAAGTTATTACTACGTTATCGAGCAAAAGTCAACTAGTATCTTCTTCTTCTACCTGGCAATTTCCCAGCTATAGCCAGGGTCTGCCGTACATGTTGTGAATAATTTTGGCTATTTGTTTTTACGATCGGCCGGATTTTTTGGAAATCAGCATTAATCAGTGATATCTGAATACTCGTAGAAAGTACATACGACTCGGAAGAATCACATTGGTACTTGCCCGGGCCAGGATCGAACCCGCGCCCTCGGCAACGAGAGGAAGGCCCTTTAACCACAAGGCCACTACTGACACCACCAAAAGTCAACTAGTATAATCTTTAACAAAAAGAGACCATGTATTCTCCACTTATCATATGAATGAATGAGGTATCTCACCGATCGTATATCTTCATATATTCCATTAAGATCGTCTTCCAGAAGACGGTAAGGGTCAACCATCTGTGTTCCGTAGTCTGGTAGAGAACCAGTACTGGTGCTTTGCATGCTGGAAGCCAACCTTCGAGCTGCACCTGTGACAGTTGTACCTGAAGTGCCACATGCTGGACCGCATGTCGTCACTCTCTGAAACAAGACATACAATTTTAAACTTTATTTTATACACTACGATAACTTGCAAGTAATTTTTTGGTTTGAAAAGAGTGAGAGAGATGGCCTATGCTTTCGGTCTAACACTCTCTCTTTCCTCATAGATGATTGGCGCTCAGTCAGTACGGTACTATTTTGAGAGAGATAAATATAGACCGAAACTTCGTTTCCTCTCTTTCTTTAGGACTGCCACAATTCTCATTTCAAAGGCATGTCCATTAGTATATGTCAACGACGATAACCATATATAAATCACTATAATCAATCATGATTAGTAATATACTAAATAAGGTTCATTTTCCATTGTTTGATTAGATATATGATTTATTAGAAGGAATGCACTATCTCCTTTTATAGTCTCAGTTACTGATTATTAATATATTTTATATGTTATGTGACAATAAGGAATTTATATCCTTTTATTGGTATGGATTAACGTAAAAATGTATGTATGATTAACCTTACTGTCTTTAAATAAGTAACGATGGAAACTCTTTCTAAACGCCTTGTACGTACTTATACGAAAGCTCTTTTACGACTTCACATATTTTTCGATATCAAACTTTCAAATTATTAAAGGAAGATTGCTAATTACGTCATTCCATCTTCCAGTCATCTTTTAATACATTACATAGTTTAAAATTACATATGTATATAAAGTTGTATGTAAAGTGAATTAGGCAAGATGTTACTACAACTATAGTGAAAGAAGCGTAATAGTTCATTCATAGTGTACAAGACATTATGACACCGACATTACATAAACGGAGCTTCAATAAATAGTACCTACAACTAAAAAGACATTATTCTTTAACATTATCTTTACTAGGCCATTAATCAATTGCAGTAAGAAACTCTTAGTGATTTATTATTTAACTCGTTTAGTTCTTGCCTCTTTTAAAATCAATAAGCTTATATTTTATCGTAATCCCAATATAGGAAGATTTTATTTTGACGATTCTTTTGCTCAGAGATCATTAATATTAAGATTAAATAAACTTTCATCCATAACACATAAGAAATAAAGCTTACTTTGGAATGATAAAAATAAATAATTCTGTAACGAAAATTCCAATATCCATATAAGAATATTTAAGGTCGTGAGGCTAGAGGCTTTCTCCGCGCAAAATCTTGACAAAAGATTATATTAACCAAGCGAATATATATACGATTTAGACGTTTAAAATAATTATTACATACAGAACTTCAGTCTTATGCCCAATACATGTTATATCTGTAATGTTTACTATGATTTTATATAGAAAACTAGATGAAAACATTAGAAAAGATTTAAATATTAAGCAACATATATGTATATATAGGAACGATTCAGTTTGTATCGGGGTGCGGCCGGTGCCCTTAGCTCAAAGCGGCAGTGACCGAGATCCGGGTTTTGTAATAGGTTTATGCAACATGCATGCACCTGATGGGTTACGTTGCAAAACTCACTTCGATGTATGCATGTATGTCGACGACCTGTCGCCGGTGAAATGACTTGAAGTTATAATTACCAAATTAAAAACGTCAACCAATATTAGTCATTACTCATTTGCTAGGCTTTGCAACGCGTTTTTATTTTTGACTATAAACTACATACTCCCGACGTTTCGGCTACTTTACAGCAACCGTGATCACGGGCAGACGAGATGAAAATATTAGTTTCATTTAAATGACTACTTGCGAAAATTTTAGATCTCATTAGTCTTTACAAGTTTAATAAATATAAAAAGAGGATGTAGGTACTAGTAATGTATAAGTTTCAAAATGGTTTGATATTACTGCTGAGACATACTTTTATAAGATGTCTGGGCTCATCGACAATTATATGTAAGTTTATCCCATACAAAAGATTTTCTATGCGACTGCGTTGCCGATGCTGAGATGAGCCATCATGAAAAATATTCTCAATCAAAACACTTGAAACTTAAACATATTTATTAAACACTCCCACGTGGAATTAAAATGTAAACCAAACAGGGTGTTCCCTCGAAATATAAATGACTCGAAACTCGCTTTCAAGGATTCATTCTTAATATTTAAATTTATTATTTGCATGAATACTTACTAAATATATTTAAAGCAACAAAATTCTCTTAAATTGAACAATTCAAAGATTTTTTTCATACAAATCGATCTACAAAATTTCCAGTATAAATATATTTTTGTTAACGACCTTCAAAATACCCAAATTATTAAATATTGGTTAGTGTATCAGAGTGCTAACAGACCGTATTAGTGTTTATGTGATGAACAAACTCAATGTGACATTGTATATTATTAACATACACTTAGAGGCTGTGAAACTTTCAATTTATTGCACGTGTCATTGAGATATTACAAAACTAGAGTTTTTTTCAGAATTTTCCAATTCGTTATTAGTTTGTATCCAAGATTCTATAAAAACTTTAGCAAATTCAATAAAATACTTATAAATGATATCTAAGCCTTTTGAATGTACGTACATACGTACTCATTTAAATGGATTTAAGTTTTTCTAATACTACATGTATTTTTTATTATTTTTCGTGTATGTACTATGCTTTTTTGATTATTGACAGAGATGAGAGTGTCAGGCACGGTTGCTGAATAGGAACCGAAACGTCGGAATTATTTATGAAGATATAAAATAATAAAAAACAGTATCCAAAAAACTTAATTTCATTCAAGTACTAATTATCCCCTTAACTAAGTATCTTAAACTGATATCCCATAAAAATAGCATCACCATATAGCATAGAAAATACATAACCATACAATATATATTCCAATTCTTTAACAATAGCGAATCGATAACTTTTACAAAGACTTGTTACGTAAATAATTATAATGTTATTTTGCTTCCTTCGTCAATATGCATAACGTTAAACGTAGTCACACAGTCGACATACAAATCACACACATAGCACGAACCCCATCAATCACTTCATAGGACCCAAGTATAAATTAATACTATTTGGCAACGCTAGTAATTCGTGACGCGGTACCGCTGTATTGAATTATAATCGCATACTAGTATAAGTAATGTGATTTCACACGTGTGACCTCAATTATAGAAATCACATTAAATTAAAAGGAAAACCAAATTTCTATACGTATATACCTAGAACAAATATATATTTATTTCTTATTCGATATTACGTCCTGAAATGCTACTACTAGTTGTCTAGTACAAAAAAGATTACGTACAGTTATACAACTTGAAACGAGAACAACCACTGTATTACCGTAACAAGTTTAAATTACATGACACATATATATTGTGTATTTATTATGTTTGAAAACAATTAACTAATAACATGTAATTGACTTAACATACGACCGCCTTGTTCTACTTACGAAATATTACTAAGATATATTTCGTACTATGACAAAATGTAAATTTGAATAATTCTCATATTATATCTTCTTCTACCTGGCAATTTCCCAGCTTTAGCCAGGGTCTGCCTTATATGTTGTGGATAGTTTTGACTAATTGTTTTTACGCACGGCCGCCTGCCTGACATCAACCCTCTTTGGGAAGGTTAATTCAAATTATATCCAGCCAAATAAATTCTAATATCGGAAATCATGTAAGAGGGTTTTATTGTCACCAAGACAGGGTCTGATTAAGGAATCTTTGAAACATCGAAAGAAATCTCCAATGGTTGACAAGCGTATCTCAAAAACTAATTAATAAAAATATAAGGGTATAACATAATTGGGTAAAAAATATAAATTGTTTTGATTCCTTAAACCGAAGTATGGAAAAAAATGTTTAAATAGAAATTGGAAAAAAATATGGTTTTAACTTATTAATAAGTGGTTATTTGTTATTGTTCAAAAGCTATTTATATTAATTGTTATAATCACTGTAAATTGGCATTTTTATAACGCTTCAAAAATATATCCTAGACTGTCATAAGCATAAAAAAGTAACGCACATACATGTACTTTTTCATATAAAAAACGTCACGATACTTAACGGGAACTTAAAATATACTAAACCGTTAATACAAAGAACAAACATGACTTCAGTGTAATTAAATATGAAAAAAATAATAATTACAATTAACATTAATGATGCACATTTCATTTGCGCACGTAAAATTGCATGCGAGAGACGCGCATAACGTACGGTTACCCGTTAGAAAGTCGCCCGGCCTTACTAAAAATAGCTGGCAATACTCATAGCCACGTCTCATATATTAACACTTATCCATATATATAAATACATATAAATTAAATAAAATAAAAATAAAACATATGAAAATGACTTAAAAAATAATTTATTTTTTTAATCTATACCAGGAAATTGTAAGAATTACGCTGAAACGATTTCTAATTAATTATTTTTATTAATTTTTTATTTTATAATGTTCTATTGAAATATTAGTTTATGGTTTTATTGAGATAAAGACTTAAACGCGCGCCTGCGCATGCGCAACTATGTAGCGATTGGCGCGCTTACTACACTATGGACTAGAATTGAATTTCTTATTAAATAACCGAAATTCACAAAAGTGAAACAAAGTAAATTCCTTATCATATATGCGTATATATTTTACAAATAGGTATTTGATTAATTTTTAAGTCACAATTAAAATTTATATATAGAAATACACCTACTATCTTTAGTATTCGATCATTGCCTCGCGATTGAGTGGTGATTTATTGAAAAAGAAATTGCTAAATAATTATTACAGTAAAACATAAATGAAAGATTATTCCCCGTCTATAAATTGATTTAAGACAACCTTCTTCATCTTAATGTCAAAGGTTGTTATACCACGGAAGCACTTAACAATTTTTGTGAAATTTTACACTGACAGCGAGTAATTGTAGAGTTATAAAAATATATTATATTAAGCCACATTTCTTTCAACGGCTTCATGTTTCCGCATTCTTCGAGGACCAGGACTTCGATTTAGGTGTGATGACCTTGGATCATCACAAATTGTATATCATTAAAAAAATATATCTTTGGATGGAATGCTGTCATGCATTATAAAGATAAAACACCAATGTCAGCACGTAAAAGATGTAGACAACTTTTTTACGCACCCGTCTAAAATTAAATTGTTTATATTTAAAAATAATTACACGCATATAAAGATGACTATAAAAATATAAATAGCATCACTAAAGAAATGAAATTGTATTTAAAACCACTCCTTAAAGGAGTTCCCCGACAAATGTACATTATAATTCAACTTTTATAGCGAAAAAAATCCCCCTGTATAACAGCTTCAACTTGAGTTATTGATATTCAGTATACAGGACAGTTTAAAGATCTTTTTAATCTTAAATACCACACGTACATGAGTAATGTGTTGGGGAATTTATTTATATAAAAAAGGGGATTTTTCTGGCTCATTTTTATGTTTTGAGCTCAATGCAAAAAAATATTTTTCCATAGAAGCGTCTGTAATGGATTAATTGGCGTGAAAAACTATTATAAAGCTTTTTTTATGAAGTGTTTAATGTTTTTGCCATTTTGGATTTCTAATATCTCACTCACCTTGTATCTTATAATATCTTATTATATTAACCTTAAAAAAAATGTTGGCTACAGAAGAGAATTAAGCACACATTGCTATGCCATTTTGGCCCTTAAGCCATTGCAAATTAGATACTATTTGCGATAAATTAAACAATACAGGTATCAGCCACAATTTTTATTAATCTTATATGCACATATAAACTTAAAACTGCTTACACTCTACTGAATAGACATTAAATCAAATGACAAATATAAAATCTATAAGGTTAATGAACTTTTCCTTTCATATTCGCTTTTAAATATCAAACTATTAATATTCTTAAGGGTAAATTATTTTATATAATAACAGGTTCACAAGAAACGGTCGAAGTGTGTCAAACACCGCGCCTTTGCCACAGGTCAAAAATCAAGGACAAACCTTAGTAAAAGTAAAAATACACATCTCACGGTTAGGCAAAAATAATCACAATAAAAAAGATTTTAATATATAAAAAAAAGGATTTTGTTGCTAGCATTTTTCTTGTGTGTATTTTAGTATTAATCTTTTTTAATTTTATAATATATCACTTTTTCATTTTATTTTCGTATCACACAAACATTTAGCAATCGAGACCTAGAGAATAGAATATTGCTAAAACCTATACTGTAGATTTTTTTTCTGCCCTGATCCCACTTTATGTAGGTTCGGCACAACATGTTCTTCTCTTCCACAGAACATGTAATAAATACTTTTGGCTAATTGTTTTACGACCGGCCGCCTGCCTGACATCTACCCATTTTTTGGGAATATTTTTTATGATACATTTGTAATATTTAGAATTTATCTGCAAGTACCTTCATAATTTAATTTAATTCTAAAGCACTACTTATAAATAAAATTACAGTAAGCCATTGTTAATAGTAATTTCTATATCCATTGTCGTAATAAATTAATACATGTGAACCATTTGAATGCATAGAATTATAATAATTCGAACACATATTATCAAACGAGTTGCAGTACCACGAATTACAAAACAGAATGGTCACGCTCTCAAAAACTCAAATCACTAGTGTTAGGTTATAAGGTGGCAACCTATACTACATATATAACTTGCACTATAAACTTTATAACATCTACTTGAAATAGTTAGTCTTCAGTTAAATCCTAATTATTTTTTTATTTCCCATATTTTTTTTTACAGTAAGTACTTAGAAGTTACGCTAAGTCTATACGTTGAAAATTACGCGATAGACTGAAGAAAGTGTAGACATTTGACTTTTACTATACTTAAATGATATTGAGGTCAATAGTTAGTTATAATAACCAATAAATTTAATAAAATTCAATAATTACTATAGAAAAAGACGTCAACTGGAAACTATGGCTAGTTTTTTTGCAGATTTTTAGTATTTATATGTATTTTAATGGCACGTTAAAACTAATTTAAATTTAAGTAATGTGATGGCACCTAAGCCGTTGGTTTGCAATTAATATTGCCTCCATGCCACTGATGAGTTCATTGTTTGCAAGACTTGAAACTGTCTTGCACAATTGTACCAACTAAACATTCAAGCAAGGACGTCCAGTTTAACGTGGCCTCTGTGCACTAAGTTTTTAGATATTCTTGATATCTCCTGATTTATTGCTAAGTATTTTCGCAACAAATATTAATATTATATGAATTCGAACAGTTAAGAAATATGAGAATGCATTTCAAAGAAACATTTCATTCAGTGTTGACACTCGTTATATTTATTAAAGTTTTGAAATTAATTGAATTATATTTTATAATAAAACCATTTCTTTTAAGAGTCTATCGAATGAATTAGTTAAGCATCTTAAAGCTAGAATTAATTTGGGATTTTTTATAAATTTTACGACATCAAAACTACTTCTTTTTTGTTTATAAATTTGGGATGGCTAAAAATGTAAAAAACTACATATACATAACAAATAGGTTAAAATTGTATGTATTCTAGGTAAATTATATCTAATTGCATGTAAAATTACAGGACTTGGACGTTTTGACTATAATTTACTACTAATTGATAGTAATGTCTAGCCTATAGTTAAATTTTAAAAAATACTTCGCATGTTAATAGCTATACGAATACAGGTGCTAAATACTGATTAAAATTTTAGGGCAAAACGATGTAGGCAAAGTCGAAATATCATAATTTATTACTATATAATATTATTAATTTATATTAAGATTAGCCAATTGAATAATGTGATGTATTCTTACGCAAAACACATCGATATTTAGATATATGTGGCAACAGAAACTTGTAACGTAAGAAAAAACTTATAAGAATTGTGTCAATGGATCGAGAGGAATTCTCAACGTCGAGAACTAGATACGAAACTGTATTTTGAATTAAAATCACGTATATTTAGTATTGAAAAAGTGTTGCAAGTCCAAAATAACATATGCTAAGTGGTATACGTTACCGCAAAACTCTTATACAATGATGCCGACAGAATAAATAGGTATGTGTTCCGTGTTGCTACTGAGAATAATTTAAGCGTTTCGCACTATGGAGGTTAATGTATAAAAAAATAAGGAAACTATTCATGTTCTTAATATTTAAATACAAAATAATAAAAAAAAACAGTTTTTATTTCATTTGAGAATACTTAATCTTTATATTCAGATTTCGATTTTTCTATTCAAAATTTATTTTCTTATTTAATATTTGAATTATTTATTCAAATATTACTTTAACTTTCACCGCCTTCTAAGTTCTAATGCTATTGTTCAAATATGATGTACATTTTATAAAAAATATCTCATAATTTTTTTATACAGATAAATTTGTGTAACATACTATATAAAGCTTCATTTAGCACGGCTTGAAAGTGTGCTAACATTAAAAATGGAAAACTTAGAAAAAGAAAGTAAACAAAACAGCTACGACCGACATTAAACCGTTGAAAACATAAAAAACTATACTCTACTAGCTTTCCGCCCGCAGCTTCGCCGCGTGGAGTTCGGTTATATCGCGTTTCCAAGAGAACCTTTCAAAAGTCTGGGATAAAAACTATCCTATGTTCTTTCTCAAGGTCAACTCTATCTCTGTACCGAATTTCATTAAAATCAGTTCAGTGGTTTAGGCGTGAAAGCGTAGCAGACAGACAGACAGACAGACAGACAGACAGACAGACAGACAGACAGAGTTACTTTCGCATTTATAATATTAGTAGGGATGACCTGGTATACAAATGAGTAAAAAACTGTCGAGAAACACGTAGTGGTGAAATTAATTATTATCGTCATATAAACATAATTGTTGCTTAGAAAGTTTTGTGTGACTCGCCAAGATTTTACATTGCATGCTCGCACGCTGCGCTAGAAAGCACGACGTATGCGGCTGACGACCGTCGTTCCCTTGCCGGCGTATAGCCGACTTCGATCGATTTAATATTAATTATGTTTAATATGTGTATACAAATATCTCTTTCACGTCGACGCCCACACGAAAGTAGCCTCGGAACGTTTGTTTGACGAAAGTAAAAGCGACCAATGCGGTGAAAATAGCAGGGTAAACCCAAGAAACCTGCGCGTATGACCTACTGACTACTGTCCACTTGTGATGATTTCACTTTTTATTTTATTATTTTTTTGTATGACTAGACAGTGACAGAATGAATTCATACTAATTATTGAGTTGTTATTATTTGTTCAAATAACTATATTTTAATGTTATAGTTTTCCTTAAGATGGATCAGCTGACTTATAGGTTAATGTCATGCTGTTATGTAAAAAATTTGTATAATATTACGAAATCTTGATTACTATAATAACATATAACGTTTGTTCTATCAAACTAGACTATACAGAAAAACACTTATTTTATTGATATTATTGAAAATCCTGAAAAGGAAAAGAAACTTCCTAATTTTTATCTAACCTGACAAGTTTTTCCAAATATCCGCAATGGTGATGGTCCAGGAGGTTTGAGTTTCACAAATAAAGTCTGCCTTCGAACTTTTTGTCCAAATTGACACATTAACTTATCCTGCACACGAGCACAAAGCCTACTCGAACTTAAACACGCCATAGCTACAACTGCAAAGATACGCTTGAGAACATGAACTACTTAACGTTTCATAGCAAGAACGATAAGCCTTGTACTCCCCACTTTACGACAGCTGATTGTCAAACTTGAGCTCTTCTTTAGTGTTACCAGTATCATATACTTTTAATGCACATATGCGACGATCTTAATAAATAAATTAAATAATTTTTATATTGCAGTTTACAATTTCTACATTTAAATTATAAAAATTCCCAAATTTTAATTATAAAGTAGGTAGGGATTAAGGACAATGGATTATCATTTGTCAATGTCAGTTACGATGAATAGAAATTACTCGTTCATAACCTCAAAAGTGAGTGTTGTTGTAAAAACTTTATTTATTAACGTTTTATATTATTATATCGTTCGATTTCAAGTACATTTTATATTAAAGATATTTTAATCCTTTTTAATAATGTATTATATATTTTTTTAAGTTAAATATTTCTTCAAATATCCTAGTCTAAATAAAAATTATTAATCGTATTTCTTGAGAACAGAAAATTTGCAGTTAATAATAATGTTTTAATGTTTGTTTCCAGATAATAATGATTCCACGAGTTTGTAACGTGTTAAATGCTTTAAAAAATTTTGAAAAACATGTCTTACAAATGTTTAAATATCCGCCCAGAGGTATACTACTTATACATAATAATTTTTAGATAATGCAATTTTTTTTAATGTTTTCTTAATCAAAAATATCTCATTATTTTAGAATTTGCTTTAGCTTATGATTATGATAAACCCGTTCAGAAAACAACTAAGAAATTTTCGTTGAATGACTTGATCGGAGATGGATTTTTGTTGGCTGTACCGAAATTTAGAAGAACAGTTGAGAAGAGGTGGAAAAGGAAGTTTGGAAGTCCAGAATATATATGGAAGATGCTTGTGCCTAAAACAAATATCATAGTCTGTAATAAATGTGGACATTACCATGAGAATGGACGTCTTTGTGGTAAGTAAAACTAAACAAACCACACAAGTTTTTTGTCATATAAGACATAGTGGTTGCATTGATTACAATCTTTAGACATTTCAAAAATGATCAATATGTAAATTATATCTATATCACTATAAGTAAAAGAAAGTTGTGTTAGTTACACTATTTATGACTTAAGAATGTCTGTAGGGATATGGTTGAAAATTGATAAGGAGATAGCTTAGAACCAGGAGGCAGACATAAGATATTTTATTCTGTTTGATGGAAAAAGACAAAAAAATCGTAATAAATTCCAATATCTGGTTACTTATGGCCACTCGTGTTGAATAGAGTTTGTCTGGTCAGCTATACATAATATATTACTAATTCTGATATTAAAATAGATGAAATAGCGGACAAAAGCTAGTTTTATATAGAACAACCTATGTATGTAGTATATGTATATTTTATAATATGATTCTACTCTATAAGTTATAGTTATATATTGTATTATAATTATGTGATTAAGTATGTAATTATAATTTAACTAAATGAAATTATCTAGAAGACATTGAAATTTGGCATAAAAAGTGACTTTTATATAACAGAGTTTGTTTTTTATTAATATTCACCAAAGTAATAGACTTGTGGCTTAAGTTACATCATCATGATTAAAATTAATTTATATGTATTTATATACAAAGAAGTTATAAATATATATGTGAGTATAATATATGTGTTTTTCCTCATTAACTTACACAGATCTCTCTTAGCTCAGTATTTCCTTATTATTTTTATTCTAAACTAGTTTTTGCCCGCGACTTCGTCCGCGTTAATTTCGTCATTAGTAATATAGGTATAGCTGACCGGGCGAACTCTATTCCGTCTTCAATAACCCGGTATTGGTATTTATTAAATTTCTACTGTTTCAATCGAACAGAATGATTGATATATTAGTTAGTTGTCAAGTCTAATGTCAAAAAATCGTTTGTATGGGAAATAGAGAAGGGCTGTTTTTAGGGTTTTTTCGGCAATCATTCCAATTTTTCTCACCTTTTAAACCTTCCCTGGACTTCCAGGAGTATTTCAAGACTAAAATTAGCCAAATCGGTTCAGCCGTTCTCGAGTTTTAGCGAGACTAAGGAACAGCAATCCATTTTTATATATATAGAAGATAAAAAACATTATATAATCAGAAACATAAAAATAGATCTAAATGGGGATCATTAATTTATTTGTATTTGTATCAATTATTATAATTATAAACACATGCAAAATGTTAATTCTCTTAATAAATAAAAACTTTTTTCCAATTAAGGACAATATTTAATAGTATTTATTTAACATTTGTATTATTTTTCTAATTTTGCAGTATTTGAAAGGAACTACTAAAATGATGTATATTAATTTATTTTAGGTAACTGTTATAAGATAGTAGAAGAGGAAACAAAGGAAATACAAGCAAAAATTCAAGAAAAACTGGGAACAAACAAACCTATTGAAAATGATGTCATTGTTTTATATGACGGGGACCAACTGCCTGAAAAGGTTTGTTAAGAACATTTGTATGCATTCTTTATTGTGATAAATACTTTTTACATTTATATAAAAAAGGTTTTATTTAATTATAATAAGAGATTTGTATACATTAATAATACATTTACATAAATAATATTTGATATATGATACACTTGCAGCCTCAAGAATTTTGGCAAGGAAAAAGAGTAATTGAAATGAAAAAGGAGCGGCCTAAGTGGTTTAGCAAAAATCTTTTACAGAAGACCACACAGGCACCATCAGATTCTAAAGATGTCAAGCCAACAGATTTAGCATAGATCTAAATATTGCATCTTCATGTTAATTAAGTAGAGGTTATTTGAAATAAATTTAGTAAATGAAAATCGTGGTTTTATTATATATGTGAAATTTAGTAATTGTCACATACGAGACCTTCAAGTGTTTTAAGTTTTTTTTTATAACTGTTTAATATCCTACAATTGTCTGTTATTTCGAAATAAAAGTAAAAAGATATCAATTCCCGGCTTATTTAAATAAAATAAATATGTAGGTACCATATCTTCTCTCAGTTTAATTTCTAAATATGTAGTATGTTTATTTTTTTTTTAATTCCACATTATATTTATTTATATCTTTAATTTTACAATATGTATCTACCTGCAATTTCTGCACAGGCTTTCTGCATCAAAAAGGTTTCTGTTTAAAACATGTCTGATAAGAAATAAATTATCCTTTGTGCATTTCATTTTCTATATAATATTGTGAACTATTTTTGTAATGCATAAATAAATTAAAAAAGTATATTTACTGCTTTACAAATTTCTTTCAAAGAAATCCTTATTCTTTTTTGTGACAAATCGGAATTTAGGTAGATAATAAGTCATATTAGGAAATAAATATGACTAAAACACTAGAAAAGTAAATATAAATGCTGCATTTGTTTCAATAAAACAACTACAAGTACAAATAAAAGAGCATCTTATAAATATTTAAGATTGCATTAAAAATACAGAATGAGGAAAAAACGCTATAATACAACTTTATAAATACTAAATATATCGATTTTTTATTGTTTTCATTTAAGTTAGAAATTTATTTTATGCAGCTTAAGTTAAAACTCGTAAATAAGCGGCTTAATATTAAATTTCCCTAACATGAAGGTTAAATGAATAGTATTGATATTAATCTAGGTTTTTCTCAACACATTATTGGTTTTGAATATTAAGCTGTAAAAAGTTGTTAGTAAATTACTTCAACACTATGCTATCTAAAAACAAAATTTTATCCAAATAGGTTAGGTTATTCTTTGCAAACAGAGAATAAAGCAAAACTTTGTATTTTTTTTTTAATATTTTTATTATTTTATAAACTACTAGCTTTTGCCGCGACTTCGTCCGCGTGGAATAGTGACTTCCGGCAGATTTTTGGTTCTTCCCACATAGTTCCCGTTCTTGCGGGGTTTTCGGAATGGTCAAGTTCCCGTAGAGTTTTCTGGATAAAACCTATGTTTTTTTTTAAATTCACAATGAAGTACTCGTAACCGACAACATATTTATTTGTTTATTTGAATAAAGCTTCATATTATTATGTTTATACAACTTAAACAAATTATTTCGCCCAAATTAGGTACCATAAAAACGGTTTTTGTGAGTTAATCTTAAAAGATAGACATATACTGTCGCGGACTGTTTTTTAGATCATTAAAAGAGCTATTATTCTTTAATACATATTTTTTGTGTATCTTGAACCGTTTTCACGGCGCACGCAACGGAAGGCTTCAAAGATGAAATAATTTCTCCCGTTTTCACACATTTACCTCTATATCTTTGCTCCTATTGGTCGTAGCGTGATGTTATATAGCCCATAGCCTTCCTCGTTAACTGGACTATCCAACACAAAAAGAATTATTCAATTCGAACCAGTAGTTTCGGAGATTAGCGCTTTCAAACAAACAAACTCTTCAGCTTTATAATATTAGTATAGATGGCTTCATTTACACTCAAATCATGGAATGTTTTGTCAAAGACAACGTTTTTATTTGTTGAACGAATTATTATAATCTTGATTTTAAATATTATATAGTGTTTTTTTTTCCAATATATCAGTAAAACAACATGCACTTTAAGTTTACAGATGTATAGTAGAAGTCATAGTAAAAAAAAAGAACTGCATTTTAGAATATTGCATAATATAAAAACATATTAACACCCAATTAACTTCATTTATATTTAATCATTGGCTTAAATTTTAATGAATACTATGTTTATTTTATTTATTTAAATTCAATTTATGATTATATCTTTCAGACTATTAATCTGAGTTGTAATTTTTTATGTAGCAAAACATAAGAAAGTCAGTAAATATTTTAACATAGAAGTTGTCAAAGAAGAATCAGTATTAACAGATTATTACTCTATCTTTTGGTTAAATCAAATGCCTATGAAAAATTCTACCATCTCAAGTCATCAACATTATTCAAAAGCAAATTAATAAAGTAACTATTTTTAAATTATAATATTGTGAATCAATAAGTTCAGTATCCATGCCAAGGTAGAGTATTATGAGAGCAATATAAATAAAACAACATTTAATAAATAATGTATAATAATAAATAGAAGAAAAACCCCTTTTAGAGACTTAAGTATTAGATTACATTATCAAGTGAGTTTGGAATGGTATCATAATTGTCAATAGAATCCACTTCATTTTCACCAATAAAATGATTTTCTACATGTGTTTGAAAATCAGAAAACATGGTGTCATCTTTAAATTTTTCTCCACATATCGGACATATTCTATCAAATGATTCATTAAAATTCTGGTTACCTTCTAAATTTAACTTTGTTGGTAATTTTTGTTCATTGAAACTGTCATCATATGAATTTGCGTTCATTAATGATTTGTTCATATTAAGACTATTGCTTGTTTCTGTTTCCTTATTTTCAAAATTGGTATTTTTCTCTTGACTTTTAAGGCAAGTAGCGCATTTGTAGCCATCTGTAACGAAAACATATTATCATTACTCCTAGGATAAACAGAATTGCAATATAACATAAATCTTAGCTAAAATTTAATAGTATTCTTCAAGTTCTTTGAATACAAGTGAAATCAAGAATAAAGTAACTGTTTATAGATTAAGATGTAATATAATCTTGGACTTACTAGTAACAATAGTTTCTAATCTTGATAAAACTAATTGCAAGTCTTTTTCCTGTTGAGCCAATTCTTTTTTGAGCTGCTGTAACTTGTCAGTGTGGTTCCTTATTTCCGTGAGTGAGTCCATCGCTGGATCTTCAATGTAAGTGAAGCCAATTGAATCAACATTCAATATATCATCATCTATGTCTTGAAGTTGAGCCATCTGTTCATATTGTTCTACAAGTTGAGACTTTTCTTGTATGTAACTATTAATTAATTTTAGTGATATTTCTTCCAAGCTTGAATCGGAATATTTTTCTTGATACTGGTTGTGACATTTCGGAGTACTGTGTATGTAAGTGTTGGTGCGAACAAGGGGATTTCTGGGACGGTCAATTGCATTTCTTTCTGGATTCTTTAATAATGACAGTTTGCTCCATAAGTTTTTGTTTTCACATGAAACCATGAATACGTGGTGTAGAAGTTGTGACTTTTGCTTATTTAGTTCAGCAATTTTTTGTTGCAGAACTGATTTTTCATCCTGTTGCAAAGGTATATAAGGAGCCTTCTCAGTTGACTTCGATATATCTAACTTTAAGCGCATGTTATCCGTTTCTAAAGTATTTATCCTACGTTGAAGTAACAGGCATCTGTCTCTCATAGCGTGTAAAGCTAATTCATGTACACTTATGTTATTGCTATCACCTTTAAGCGTAGATTGGTATGTAGAATCATTATTAAAACTTACGATTGAAGAAGAATCCATAATTATATTTAAGACTTATAAAATTAATTACAAACAAAATTAGTTATAAACAACATTCTTTATCTCTGCATACAGATTACAGTTATTGTGTCAACTGTCAAATGCATATTGTCAAATTTCCAATTAATTTCTTGTACACAATATAACGTACAAAAATCTATGGCAGTAACACATATTTAGATACTGATGTATCGCTAACCTGAATCTTTTTGGACAGAAACCATTCACACACAAAAATTAAAACATCTTTTAGTGTACAAATAAAACCGTAAAAAAGAATGTTGTACTAAAAACTAAGAGAAATATACTAAAAGGCTCCAACCGATAATTAATATTATTAAGAGCACTAGTGCATCTCGATAACAAAGAGGCCCAAATATCGAATTGCCATCCATTCACACAAAAGTGATATCATAAATGATTTTTTTACAGTGTGGGCGAATATCGGGTTTTGTTTATTTATTTATTTTATTTAAATTGCTCAGGTCAGCTCTGAACCGTTTTTTCTGATTCTAATCCAGTTTCCCAAAGAAAAAAAGGAATATATTGGTTACCATAGTTTAGAAGCCTGCTAATATTGTGGCTCTTGCAGACTGACGTTGGTCAACTATTGCCTATTTTTGTTTTTGGCGTTGAGTTGGAAAATCCTCATTGAGTCCCTCCACCCATAAAGACTAAAGATAAAGTCTTTATTTTATAAATTGTATTCCGTAGCATCAAACTCGATATCTTACAGATATAGAGAGATAGCATTAAAAGAGGATGTCAAACTTCTAAGTTTTTTTATGTTGTACAGTACCGTGTTGCAATCTAATTCTATATGTTGGTTTGAACTAATATATTGTAAAAGAATGAATCATTTTACACGATTACATCGAAACATAAATACTTTAAGATTGTTTTCATAATAGTGCTTTATATTCGATGAAAGGCTGATGCCTTGATGTAAACATTTATGTGAGGTCGCAAAGATCATGGAAATTGAATTTTTTAAGAAATTATATTTATGTAAATGGCAGTGCTTTCACCGAAAATATAAAAATGTGGGTAAACTCGGTATACAAATTATTTAGTAAATTTGTTTATTTCATTTGGATTGCCAGTAGCTCTAGAATGTAAGATAAGGTGGCAATAAATTAGACTTAATTAGGCATAAAAGTATTTCAAAATTTCCGACACCCTTTAAAGGTATATGTAAACACTAAGGATTTTATGTAAAGTTATCAAGAATCTTTAGGATCCGAGTCAATTTATAATATCAAAATCAAGATTAAATAATATACAGTCGTGTAGTATTAAATTCCCTATTGTATATTCTGTGGTTATTCATCCAGTTTGACTGTTCCTAATTTTAAAAGTTAAAATCTTATGACAATTGTAAAGTCAGACCATTGAGATTTGACAACCATAAAATTATGACAAGCAAAAGAAGTAACCAAATAATATAATTTTTCTGACTTCATAATTGTTTTTCTGTTATAAATTGCAATAATAACGCAAAATGGGTAACTGGAAGTTAGAAGTTGCAAGAATGGCTATGTATACGTCTTTTCCTGTGGGTTTATTTTTCTATTTCAATCAACCAGCATATTTCGAGGAATGGGTCACTAATACGAAACGGCAAATAATTCCGCCAGAAAATCCACAAAATCGAGAAGCTATTCAGAAGCTTATACAAGATATGAGAAAGAAACAGATGCGTGTAGTGGAGGAAGAATAATTGTTTAATATTAGGTTAATTTGTGTAAATAAATATTTTTAGTTTTTAGTGACTTCTATATTGCTTTTATTTTTATTCCAAAACTTGAATTTACTTTAAAAGTTATAGATGATTGTTAATCATATTAATAAAATGTAAAAAAAACTATTTTCAACTATTCCTTGAATATTTCATGAATATCAATATTATATTCTTGGTGAAGTTTAACAATATAAGAAATAAAACTTATTTGTACTCATTTTTAAATAAAACATTTATTTCATATTAACCATTTCAATATCCACTAGTCCAGTTTAAAATCCACTAATCCACTTTACTCTGTTTACTTCTAAACTGATAACTGAATATGAGTCCAACAAATGTTGAAAAGAATGATGCATATAATACATATGAAATACCAAAGAATTCTCCAATAAAACCAGCCACCATTGGTGCCACAACACCAGTTAATGATCTTACACTATTGGAAGCTCCTATCAAAGTTCCCCTATGATCCCCTTTACTTCTTTTTAGCACCATTTCTAGAGTTACTAGTCTTCCCACCGCATTACCTACAGCTAATGGAATTAATAACATTGAATACATATAAATATTGAATGCCAAACATATCCCTAATAAGGACATGCTTAATAATAAAAATACATGATTATTACGTATACTATAGTCCTTGTCGTGAACATATAAACTATTTATGCGACCCATCAGAAAGGAGGATATTGCACCAATAACTCCTTGTATTGACACCACATATCCAATATTCTTTGGAGTTAAACCAAACTGTGTTTTTAGATATAATGCATAACTAGAGTAATAAACACCCATGGCAAAACTGTTTAAGGCTTGAAACATAAAAATTTTCCAATATTTTGGCCATTCCACTTTGGATAACTCAAGAAAAGTCTGTTTACTGCAAGAAAGTAATGATTGGAGGAAATTCTGTGATGCATTTTTTGTTTGAGCTTTAGTTTTAATTGTACTATCAGTTTTCGGCAGCATGTATATCAATCCTGAAACAATGTATTAATAATATTACAAAATGTATTATTGAAAAAATATATTTTGTTTTTATAGTTTACCTGTATTTATTAAAAAGAAGGTGCTAACAATTGCACCGATAATAGTGAATCCATAATGAGGAAAGTCTTCAACAATGTGACCACCAAAAATTGGTCCCAATGTTATTCCAACTCCTGATATTGCTGCCATTTTACCATATATTTGGGACTGTTTGCTTTCCACTTTCTCATAATCAGGTACCAATGCCTTAGTTAATAATTGTGTTTGTTTAAACAGGCCTGAAATAAGATTATGTACATTTTAAACTCTAGTCACATGTAATAAATATATGTTAATATATATATTAAGTAAATTATTAACCTAAAACAGCCCGCAATACAAATATAATTGCAATAGACGATGTTAAACCCAAAGTCATATAAGAAACACTACATACTAGTAGTGTTAGGAATAATATTGGTTTCCGTCCTCTTATATCACTTAAACTTCCCTAAAAGAAATACCGTGTCGTTTAAAAATAAAATAAAAAAAATATATTACATAATAGATTTATAGCATGTAATTTATTCTAAAATTATAGTTATTCACTTACAATAAGTGGGCCTGATCCCAGTTGGAAACTAGCATAAATGGATCCAAGAAGGCCAATATATAATTGGCTACCACCCATTTGCTTAACATGGTTAGGAATTAATGGTACTATCAATCCAACAGCAAGTAAATCCTGGAAATATGTTTAACATTGTGAAACTTGTAAGTATCTAAAACATGTGATGCTTAAAGTCATAGATAATATATTAATAATTTAAAATATATGTCTTGTAAACTGTATACTTATAAACATTTTAATAAACAAACCAAAAAAGCAACAAACTGCAGAAGGGATATTTCGAAAGACATCATTGACACAAACTGTGAATATGAGAGTCAACTCATTATTATGAAGGTTCGAACATCAAGGTCGATATTTGACTTGCTTATGTTGTAAAAGAGCGCAAATTTATTCTTATTATTACTTAATTTCATTATTCATTCCAGTTTTGGTATAAGTAAAAGTCATATATTCAATATTCATCTCATATGGTTATAAAAACATGTGATGTTATCAAAATATTGTCAATGTCATTTAATATGAAATAAGAATAGCATTCGTGGGGAATGTTAATGAAGTTTAGATTTGGTCAAAGAAAATAATATGTAAAAACGAATAAAGTCTATTTTAAACATTAATTTCAAGTAGTATTTTCCAAGTGTGATCAAGATTGCTTTTCTATTTTTTATTACTTCTATATCATACTAGTTTCTATCAACATCTTAAATATATGTGTAAGTGATAATCATACAGCCAAAGACATAGAATCTGTGTTTGTGAAGTATGTTTTTTTAATATTATATCCGTTTGGTTTTGTGTTGAATTAATAACATTATATTAATTTAAACAATAAACAGAACATAGAACTTTATATATTTTATCTCCTCAAAGCTCGAACTTAGCAGCTGAAGGTGAAGAAATCTGAATTATAACATTTCTAAATATATAAGGTAGTTTTCCCACAGAAAAGCTTTTCTTAGATTTAAGGATTAATGTTTTAAATACATTTAATTACAAATAATGATGTTTAATTAAAGCAACGGTCATAATATATAGCAAATTTTTACCAATTTTCAAATCCTTAAAATATAATAGAAAATATTGAGTCTTATGATTTCAATTTAAAATATCATTACCTCATTTTATCTTAATCCATCAACGAAGACCTGGTTCGGTAAATTGCACCGACATTACTTAAACTTTTCCGTGTAACAGCATTCACCACCAGCTACGAAGATAGTAAATGGGTTTGGTGATGGAAAGCTGATAATCAAAAATAATCTTTGATATATGTTTTTTACATTAATCTAGTGGCTACAAAGTTATTAATAAGTTTTAAGAGCTTTTTATGAATTATTGGTTAATTGATTAAATAACAGTATTTCCAAAAAAATACTGTGTAAAAACAAATCAACAAATTCAATTATGTAAACAGGGATAATAAAATAAAAAGAAGTATGTATACACAGAAATTATTTATAGGACTCTACCTGACGGCAAGTAGCTATTCTATAATGCATGCGATATTTTATGTGGTATTGTTTTGCACAATAGCGTAAGGTTGTAGCTTTTAAAGTACTAAAATAAAATAGCAAACCATAATGGGTAGAACTGATAATAACAAAACTTAAGAAATATCATTCCTTTTAATACCTTATTGAATTCTGAAGAGCTTTCAGATTAGATATATTCTATTAATGTCAGTGTGTTATATGTATTAATGCAGTAAATAAGGATTAAGGTATACTAGTATTTTGCAATATAAAAAAATACGTCATTAAAGGACTTTGCAGATATTTTTTTTAAGGAGTTAGAAATCAGTAAGAAGTTAGGTATTTTTTGTTTGTACTTAGAAAACTATTGTTGGCTTATTTTATTATACCTATTTAATATATTTACTTTATGTTTGAAGGATATTGATAACATCTAATTGATTCTAACAATTAATTGATTAAAACAATATAGAAGTTAATCAAGCACATAATAAATGATGCTATGATTGAAGGAGTTAGATTTAGGTTAATTAAATATCGTATTATAAAACTACTTCAAAAATATATCTATTATAACTTAGACCACCCTGAAAATATTGTTTACCTTCTATCTTGTTTCATAAGTGGCAATTGCTCTGGCTGGCTTTTAGTTTCAACTGCTGCAGCAGTATCTTGTTTTTCCATTATCTCAAACCTGCTTAATATAACTGTAACAGTAATTTGATGGCCGATGTTGGATAATGGAGATAATGTCACACTATTAAATTTTAAAACATGTCTGTTTTCTCGAACTACGATATTAATATTGTTACGTCCTATATAGAGTGATAATCGATTGAATTTCAATGGTTTTTGAAATCTTAACACTAATACCTAGTTATTACCCACCACCGTTATCAGCGGGCATATAAAGATGTCCTGTAGCGCGGAATTAATTGATCACCGGTTATTCAAGTGGCTTTGCTTTAGCAGAACCCCAAGCCATGTTAGAAACTATCATAAATTTTCATATTAAGTAGTTACTAAGTCCAATTCTATAAAAGGTTTAATGTATCACTTAACGGATTTAAATTTTAAATGTAACTGTAATTATTTTATTTATGAATTCGAATTTGCACGATTTGTTCATTAAGTAGCATTATTTTAAGTCGTGTTAAAGTTATTCATTCGAAACTACTTAATACTTTCTAACTTTTCTTAGTTTATGTCGCGTAAATGATACTAGATGCTAAATAGTTCGTGATATCATGTAAAGTTGTGTTAAATAATAGTCGATATTCGTTCCCAGTTTTGAGATTGTGTATAATAACATGAAAATCTCAAAACCGTATTGTATCTTCACTTGCATCAGATTCCGTGGGTTAGGAACGTGCCGAGTGCTAATGTGACTCCGGCACGATTCTGATACCTTATCGCCATTCAACTTAATGTTGCCAGCTTTTATGTTTTCGCATTAATGTTAAATTTGTAAACTGGGAGTTAGTTATCGATGTATGATGAGAACGGTTAGTCTAAGTCATTTTATAAAATGAAACGTATAATTTTAGGATTTATAAATGGCCTTGCACGTTATCTTGTTATATTCTAATAGATTTATGTTGAAAAGCTATTAAGTAGTTCACTAATTCGTATCACAGTTATCGTCCACTATTATAGGTAGGTACATAAAATTTTATCAGAATTCCCTAATGAGTTTCGTTGCCGACAGGGTAGTTTATGAATAATAAAAAAATACTGGCTTTCGTTTTTGTTTTTATTTTATTAAGTAGTGTCATTGTTATCTTAAATTCAATGAAATTTATATTAAATAATATAAAAGTAACTAAATTAATTCTAAAAATATTTTAAAGGTAAATATGTTTGAGACAATTTGTGTGCATTTTATTCACATACAGAACGTAAATGTTTTTTCAATAATCTCATGATTTTTAAATAAGCTATGGTCCAAAGAGAGACGAAACGGATGTTGGTGCCGGGTGCATCACGTTGCAGGGAGATGAGCTTCAACAGTGACTGGGACTTGCGATCCAGGTGTAGGTTTAAGAGGCCCCTTATCTAACGCGCGTTAAACACTCGCCTCCACCGCCCAAGTTCCTCTTTCTACCTAACCAAATTTGAAAAGAACTAATGTGAATTCTGGACAGGCTCAAGTCTTTTAGTAGGTTGTATAGAGATTTAGCTTTTACACCTCTCGCTGTCACTTCTACCGTTTCAAATTATCAACGAAATATATTTAAAACATGTACCAATGAAATATATTTAAAACATTTTTACAATTTACCGAAGTTTTATGAGATTAAAGACTGTCAAAAATTACTCTGAAATTGCATAAAAAAATTAAGACACAGTTCTATCACCACTATAAACTGATTGAAATCATCGACATTGAAGCTTTGTTACAAATAACAAGGTGTCTCACGCTACAGGGGTCCTACCGACAATTTCAATTTATATTTTTATTGCATAATACTTACTTTGAATTATTCATATTGCATTACCGAGATGAGAACAAACGATAAACGGTTTAATTGAGACTGTGGTCTTTTAAGGACGTATTAGATGTAACTGATACGTATTATATTATTATTTGAGTATAGAATTAATATTATAAACGCGATTGTATTATATATGCTTTTAAAGATATATTCATGTTTGTTATGATAAAGTGTTTCATGAAACTTTAGTTATCATGCGTAATAGATATTGCCAAGACAGAAATATTAAAAAAGTAAATTATAATGTGTGGTTACTATTTAGTTTTCGATAGTTTTTCTTAAGTATACCCTATTTGTTTCTATAGGACTAACTAAATGTGATATTATTAAGAAACAACATAAAATAAGCTTATTCCGTTATTTATAATGAAGTAGATTTTTTGTTTGATTCGGAAATTGAGTACCAAAGGAAATTTCGACCGTGATAATTCGATGAAGGCGGGGACATGATACTTTGATGGCTTTTTAATTTATTTGTCGATCGCCTGGCTATTTCTTTTGATATTCAAATCGAGGCAACATGCCTACATGCATCTCGCTATAATGAGGCGTGGAATGACAAACTACCCTTGCACTGACGCCTCCAGCCACATTTTATCTTTTAGACAGTATGCTTGTTTTTAATTTAAAAAGTAATCGTAAAGAAGAAAGTTTCCAATTATTAAAATTTTATGTGCTGGCTTTTCAAGATAAACTGAATTGTAGACGATTATATTGAAAGCGTGAAAAATAAAGAAAAAATATATTTTCGTAAAGCTAATGTGACTTCAAATATTTTTTTCTTATCAGTGTGACCTTAACGTATTACCCTTCTAATGATTTATAGAAATTGACAGTTCCTTGGGAAGGACAACACCTGTACTTTATGAAATCATATAGTAGAGTTATATTTTATATATCAGGAGAAAACAATTCAAAATTTATTTAATTGGTCGTATTTGTTAAATATGTTCGAGAAATCAAAATTTTGGGGAATATTAAGTCCTAGAATGTGCACTCACGTCTAAAAAAATATACTTTAGATAACTGTAATTGGTAGTATGGAGTAATTTTATTGTGTATGTCTAACTCATAAACCATATAATATATTTAATTCAGCATCAATTGTTTCGATTCTAGTCAGTTAAAGTTTCAAGTATTAGTATAAATTGACCGTTATAAACAAACATTAAGGTAGCTTGAGTATTTAAATTGTAATCTAAAAGCCTAGCATCCAGTGCTATTGCACGAACTTGTAAAAAGTAAAGAATGTAAAACAATTGTCAACTTCAAAGTTTAGTAGATAATATTTATTTATTAATGCAATATGTTCGAATTTTACTCATTTTCTTTTAATATTCCTCCTTTTTAATATTCCTCCTATGTGAATGAAGCTTAAAAAATTAAAAAATATTATGAATGTTGTGTCTGGACCTTGGGGTCTACTACTTAAAGTACTAGAGAGAACTCGCAAGATATAATATTACAAAATATGGTTCACTACTCGTCTTCATATATCAATAAGATCACAGAAGATTGCATAAACCTTTATCAGAATATACCTAAAAATGGCAAACCTATTGAAAATGAGTGGACTGTTTTATCTTGTGTGATTGAAGTTGATAAAATATCAAAGAACAACAAAATAGTTGCTCTGGGAACAGGTTCAAAATGTATTGGAGCTACGAAGATGTCACCATTAGGTAATATACTAAATGACTCTCATGCTGAAGTAATTGCTAGAAGAGGTTTCCTTTTATATTTATATAAAAACATTTTAGACACTATAAATGAAAAATCCTCAATATTCATAAGAGAAAACGAAAAATTTAAATTAAAAGATAACATAGAATATTTGTTTTATTCATCACAGATGCCTTGTGGGGACGCTTCGATCATACCTAAGTCTGGTGAACAAGATGACTATGGAGATTTAATTATTAATAACAAGAGAGCAGCTAATATTGATATATGTGAGATAGAAAGTAAGAAAGTTAAAACCGATATACATAGAACTGGAGCTAAATGCTTAACACATAGTAACCAGGATCCAAAGGAACCTGGTGATAAATATCACCTAATAGGCCAAGTAAGAACAAAACCGGGTAGAGGAGATCGTACATTATCGGTGTCATGCAGCGACAAAATTGCTAGATGGATCCATTTAGGCATTCAAGGAGCATTATTGAGTTTAATTTTACATGAACCAATTTATATTAAATGCTTTATATTCGGCTCAAGAACACCTTTTTCTAAAGATACCTTACACAGAGCACTAATATATAGGGATAATGAAGATGTACTGGAGAGAATACAAATAATTCCTGAATTTCACAACTCCTCGATAGTGTTTCCGCATATTAGAACTGCTAATAGCATCAGACCAGCAGCTGGCAGTATAATATATGTTAACATAAACAATGGGTATGTTTTATTTTAACTATATATAATATTGAAGATGAAACATATTTTGATATTTAAATTTGTTCATTAAATATTTATTAATACATATGTTGATATGAGCTTGATGTCACACATCAAGCTTAATATTTAAATAATGTTATTTAAATAGTGTGTATTAGTTTATAGCTACATATATCAAATATGCTCTGTTTTTTATGAAATATATATTTTCTAAGATTTCAATGATTAGCACTCATTGTATGCTTTACATAATTATTTCAAAGATCATGTAGTATTAAAAATTAAATTTTAACAAATTCTAAGAAATATATTATATATGTTTACATAAGTATTGGTTCATTGTATTTACTTTAATAACAGTATTGTCTTTTTAGATTACAAGAGGTTGCAGTTCAAGGTATAAAGTTGGGTTTAACAAAAAAGAAAGCAAATTCATTAAACCACTGCCTAAGTATTTGTAAATACAGTTTATATAAAATGTTCTTGGAGATTCTTGATAAGAATTGTGATTTGAGAGAGAGTATTTGCAGTGAGGAATTAAAAGACATCCCATATAATAAGATGAAACGAAAAGCTTTGATGTATCAAGAGAAATGGAGCAAAATAAAACAGAATTTCTTTAAAGCATGGACAGTTAAACCAGATATATGGAACTTTTGTATAAATGATAAATAAAATAAGAAAATTAAACTGTTGTTTTATTAAGAGAATATTTATCAATCAATAAATTAAACACTAAGAAATTTTATGCTTCTATAACAAAGACTATGTTAAATGGATTCATGTTTAGTACAGGATTGTTGCTTTGTTTTACAAATAGTATTTAATGTGAAAGAAAATTTAAAAAGGTATTTTTGGAGAAAGTGATATGTCTTTTATTACTTAATATTTCAAGTTTTCACCAATTTTACTGATTTATAAGACAAAAGTATTGTGGTAGGTATTTTTAGGCCTATGATATTATTAATAACAAAATTTATTGTATAAAAAAACGCTTGTACATTTATTGTTATTTAACTATACCTATGATACATGTGAATAATCATTGACCTAAAATAGCTTACAAATTTTGTAAAAGAGTTTATATTCTTTCACTGCTGGAACTATATTAAAAGCAAACATAGCAAGCTTAGTTTCAAAACTCTGACTTTCTTGTGAAAATAAACGCATCGAAATCTGTAGATGCGTTACTAGTTACGATGCCTCAGACACACAAACACACATACACATACACACAGCTGATTGCATACATAAACATTGTTATTCAAGATTTGATAATTTCTATAATTGTTGGTTCCTACTATTATTAGCTTTGCATATCAAGTAAATGTTACAGTTGAAATCATTTTATTATTAGAACAATTAATAAACGTAAATAAAATTAAGTAATTACCGATTAAGTATATTATAATTATTTAAAAATCCATGACTGTATATAACTATATACTATATCGTTTATTAGAATACTAGGATGTAATGAAGTAGATACTTGAATTAAATCCTTCTTAGAGAACAATAACTAAATGGTGTCTCACAGATTAGGAATAAAAATCGTTTAGGTATAGGTATTTGTTGTGACGCGTTTTTTCAAATCCTTCGACTATTTTGATGGCTAAATCTCCTTATCTGTGATTGAATATAAAGATTAAAAAGTTTAAAAACTAAAAAGAAAAAGCGTAGTCAATAATACAAAAAAATAAGAATAAATTTTATTAGAAAAATTCTTAATAATTTGTTGTAAAACACGGACTACCCAATTCCTTTATACCAATCGTATAATTTTAGTCTTGCCTTAAAAAATACCCTTTTATTTTATCTAAACCATAGCATTAAATACTCAGACCCGAGTAACATAAATTTATAAAAGGTTCATGTCACTTCTTTAGATACTTGTTAAAATACCTGACATAAAAAGTTAATGGATGTTTTAACACAGCTTCTAAGCTATTTGAGTAAATCCTGCATCTTATTGAATAGACATCAAATCGACTTTCTAGGAATGGTCACTGTCAGTAGATCATAGACGCCCACCTCGAAGATTGTAGAAAAGACCACCTGCCATTATAAAGTAGTTTAAGTAAAACAAATGACGTATGTTATTCAAAAGAGGAAGCGCCTAAAGCGATTGCATAAGTAATTGATAGTAGATTAGGCACTATTATTTAACGATAACAGAGATTATCGCTATTATATAACCGCTGAAGTTAAGATATTAAAAAATCTTCATGATTTAACTCTTAGTATTTTTTAATAGTTTTTTTTTTATTTATCTTGAATTCATAGGATACTTCCTACAAAAATCTTAACGTTGTTTGAAAAACGGAGATATATTTTTCTTCACTTAAGAGGCAACGATAGATTGTCCTTAATTTTATTCTTTCAACTCTAGAGAGAATATCTTAGAAGATATCTATGGATTTTACAGGTTATATTTGAAGTGAAATTTAAAAACATAATTTGTATTATTTTTTTGGTATCCTAATTAAAAAATTATAACAATAACATGTATGAAATATAAAGTTATGATAATATAACTAAGTAACTAAAAACGTCAGGATCATATAAAAAAACTAAAAAGACGCACAGAATCTCAAAGAAATAATTAATAATTAAGTCTTTATTATTTCATTTACCAATTCCTATCATAAGCGGTCTCGTAATATTATGTAGGAACATTTAAAACCTCAGGTATATATTGAAAACTTGGTCTGATCTCGAAAGAAATCTTCATTTTAAATTGACACATAAAATATGTATAATACATATATATTTTTATAAACTTTTAGAAAGTGGCTACCTATCCCGTTTCCGTGAAACAACTGGGACGGATAACATTGTTCTTGCCGAGTGAACACGAGCTATTTTAAACGTCCATAAAGATTGAAGAGTAATATTTCCCTAAAGTACAATTCAAATATCTCATGAATTAAATATTTGATCAATCAATAAAACATCTATTAAAATACATTACATTTAGGTAGGTCACTCGTGGGTTTATTCTTGTTGTTCACTTTGACAGTACAATACCCCGCCTAGAACATAAATCATTACAGGTGAGCGCGTGCGCAGCTCGACCGAACTATAGATATTTATTATAACATATTTGTATGTCTTCTTTAAACCATGTTTCATAACGGATACCATGATTATAACTATCATTTGGACTTGCAATATAAGTTTTTTATAATTTTAAGCCTATAAATTTTAACTTGTAAACTCATTTGTTTTGTTTAGTTCGTTTGTTTATGCCTTTATGAATATAACAGTTAGGTCGTCAATTCGCTGTTCATAAGATTCCTTTATCTGGGGGCGTGTGCTGTCACGGTTTGTTGTTTACACACAACAAATTGCCATGGTTAAGACTCCAGTTACGAAAATCTGACACCGCTAACACCCTAATAAATCTCAACAGATACTAGAGCGAAGTATACCTGTATATTATATTCTGTTTTACATATAAATCCTTTTGTTTGACGCAATTGAAAAAAAAAAGAAAATTAATTTATTCGATATATTGATATTAAAATTGTATGGGCGTTTATTAACGGAGTTTTAAAAGCAGGAGGTTATCAATTCGTCTATATATTTTCAAGGGATTCAAAACGTCAAAAAGATCGTGTTCAATAAAATTAAAGTTAAAATAACAAATCGATGAAGAGTAAAATTAAGTTATATACTTCTTGTAGCAGATAGTAGCCATATTGAATGTAGGTTTAGATTCCTAGAAACGGAAATGTACAAAAAACTGTTAACTCGTCATTGGTTCTATGTAACAGAATAAAAGGCAGTCTGTCTGCTTTCAAGCCATGTAAAGTAAGCTACAGTTACACGGCTTGTGGTCCATATCGGTAGAATGACGAATACGTACAAGGGATCACTCGTTAAAGAAATTGGTCAATATGTTGCAGGGTGAATGCTGCGGTCATCACTACAGATAAGCCTTACTATGACTTTTTTGGGTTAATGTTCAGTTGTTTATTTGACAGATATGTATTTAGATGGCCTCTTATATTCCAATTATTTCCAAATAATAATTTTGTTCCTATAAAAGTATTTGTACTTCTGTGTAATTGTGAGAGGATTACGGAATTAATGGTAACGTAATTAAAAACCATTAAGTAATGTAGGGTATAAAAAAAGAAAAAAATATATTTTTTGAGTATTAGATTAATATATATGTACGTAAATGGGAGCTTTTCATAAATTAGTTTATTATAAGCACATTGTATACTACTTTAATGTTATTTATTCTAAATGAAATTTTATTTAAACTTGTTATAAGGGAAAAGCTGAAATTATAAAAAAATATTTTTGATTTTATATGGAAATTATAGTTAAAAACTAATTTCTACATGCAACTACAGCGATGCCCAGAAAGGAAGGTTATGTTTTTAATCTGTGTCTATATTTATTAACATTTTTACTATAGAAAAATGATAAAATATCTTATAGTATTATTAATATTCTTTTAATTTTATAGTTACCTTAATTAAGAATTCTACTTAATTTCTAAATTAAATCTCTTTTTGTTGTTGTACCTACTCACATATAATTGAAAGCAATACTTGTAGTATCTTAAAAATATTAAAATAATACTTTTACAAAGTGAATATGTAATCATCAATACATATTATTACATATATATTAATCTAAAAATATATCGTCCTGGCGATTTCGTTCCTTTGATTAAATTGTTTAAAAAATCGCTTCAAATTGGCACTCTAAGTTTTTATGCTATTAAAAAGACGGTTTGCCTAAAAGTAATAAATCGCTTCGATGCCCTCGAAAAGTTTAGTTTTATAAATAATATCTAAAAAACAAATTAAACGAAATAATAGGTTGCAAATTACAGGCTCTCCAGAGTCCAGAGGTTATTGTTCCAAGCATTGAATTGAAGAAAACGTCTTGTGATTTATTGTGGACATTTAAATATAGTCTTTATAGACCGAAACGATAATGTTATGTATTCAGTGTTCGTGCAGTCAGCGGCTTTTCGCCGTTCAGTTCCAAAGTATCTATCCAATGCCAACAATTGATAAATATGCCAACAGCATTGTAGGCTTCTGAAGCATTGATAATCTGATTTATAGTTTAAAATGTACTTGTAAACAACTACACAGTTGTTCTTTGATAGATTATTCTGAATGATTACGGATTCTTTAATTGAAGTAATTAGTGAAGTATGTTTTATTTAATATTTATCATCCTAAACAAGGGCAGGATTTTTTTGTAGCCCCACCAAGGCCGGTTGGACGGCTCGTATAAAGAGTTTCCCGGCGACATAAAAAAAAAAGATTTTTTGGTAAAAATTAGTCCATAGATTGAAGTAAAATTAATGTACATTACTTGTTTTATTATTAATATATTTTTTTAAGTGTAACAATAAATAATATAAATGGAACAGAATGTATAATTATAATAATTCCTCGAGATGTTTGAATAAACACTGATACATTTAAACTAGACACGTTTGTAAGGCACGACTATTTTAATTTGTGTATTTTTTCCATAGTAGGTAATGTTCTACCAGCTTGTTCTAACTGAAAGCCTTAAAAGGTTGAGAGATGACTAGATATGTATTGTTTAATGGGCGAGTGTGAACGCTATTGTTAAGTCAAACGAACGAGCTTTGACACGCGATACTGTTTGTGAAATGTTTACGTCACGATTTAAAATAGCAATTTATTGCCATAATATTAAAAAAATATTTAATATAATTGAAACTATTTTCATCAAATTTTAGGTTCATTTGATTGGAATGATATATTAATTTTAAAGTACTACAGCGGCTAATATTATGTACATCTTTCCAATATCATTTGTTGATTCCTATTAACTTCATTAAATTATCTTTATTTTAATAATTCATTGATTGGAAGGGTCTAGACTCTAGATTGAGTTAATCACTAGAAAAATAAAATCATATAAAATGTATTTAACATATACATCTTCGCTTTAGACTAAATCATTAATTACTCACAAAATACAGGCTCTTTTTTCTTAAACCAGTTGTTAGTGGGATCCAAATCATATTTTGTTTAAGCTCAAAAGGTTTACCTTCATAAATTTAGAAAAATAACTATTAATTTAATCTGTTATGTAGGTACTATCAGCCTCAAATTTCTGATTCTTGAAAAGTGTTCGCACCTGTTTGATATTGTTTGACAATTTATAGAGAAATTCAATATATAAAATTCATTAATTGTAGTTATAATTAAATATCTCAACTTTAAATCTGTATTTAGTACCTCGACAATAACATTAGTTAAACTTGTATAAATAAATTGGTGTTTCAAAGAAAATATTCGCAGTTTTTTGTATATTGAAATAAAGTAGTGAGTAGAAAATATATTTATAATTATATTAACCGAGTAATAATAGACATCACCTTACTTTAAACCTCCTATAACTGGTCTTCTTGTTTTTCTCGTCATAATATTAAAGTATCTCCCCGTCAGTTGCTATTGCCGCAAATTACAGTGTAATATAAATTATTCGCATATATATATGTATTTTAAAATAAAAATATCTTGTCATTATTAATGTCTTGTCAATATTTTGAAGGACATTACAAATATAAGAACAAAAATATATTTAGTTTGTCATTTAAATTATTTGAACATAGAGAAAAGACGCTAAAGATTTCTTAACTGATTCAATTAACAAGAAAAGCATCCCAGAAACTTCATTACCCATTCATTATTATCAAAATAACTTCTAGATTCAATTATGTCATAAAACATGAGATTTAGGAGACCGTTGGAAATTTTAAACATTTTATTTTACATGGGCGGAGATCTAAAAAGCTTTTGTAGCGTGATATTTTTTTAATATACCGAAAGTTAAACAGAGTGAGATGACTAATATCCTGTAATAAAATTTTATTAAAAACCAACTCTATTAATTCTTCTCGGTAATGGTCTTGCGAAACATTTTTAGCATAAACAAAACTAATAAATTGTTATGGAGAGTTGTTACATGCATAATAAACTAGCTATCACTTTAACTAAACATTTTAAAGGTTAAAGTTTCATTCCTAGAAATTATAATGTCCATTATAATGAAGACTTCAAGTGAGGTGTAATAAAATAAAGAATTGCGTCTCTCTAAGACGAAACAAAGCGGGACAAGAACATAAAAATATGAATAGCATAGCTATAAATATCGGAGACGTGCAAAAAGCGGGTTCATCGCTATGGCGACGATTGCATAAATATAGCGAAGCGTGTTCGAGGAAGTCTTGGTAATGAGTAATTTGCATCGGGAAGCCGTCGCGAAGCATTTTTCCAATTCAACTTTCCATAATGAGCCGTGAAACCATGTACGGTTTCTATTCCCAACTATACGGCTTGTAATATAAGAATTTTAATGTTTTCTGACGCACTTTATTACGTCAGTGTAATAACAATAGAGTTAAGATTTATAAAAAACTATAATATCTGTTGATAATGTAATTTTATTGAACAGTATTGCAGATTATAATATTACGTCTTGACACTCTTACACAGCCTGAATAAGGGACTTTAGCAGTAGTTTATGCAAATGTAACGAAGTTGAAATTAATAGTCCGCCAATTTAATCTAGTATCCGTAGAAAGCATTCATAAACGTTTACTTAAAGTATCGTTAGGCTTTAGATGTTGCGTGTTAATGCGTGTATTTCGTGGAATGCAGAGAAGGTAGTGTAGGTGGACTGGAGCGGTGGACAGTCGACAGATCCAATTACATCGTAGTGCGAATTAATTTACAGTACAAGGCGCCGCGGCGTCGCTCTCACCTTGACATGTCGCGGACGGACCCAGAACCTACAGGTTTGCGTAAGCCCTTAACACGGCTTAAGGATTAACACTCGCACTTTCGCTTGCTTTCATTTTCATTCCTTAAATTTTTGCTTCATCATAATCGAAACACGTAATACTGTGACTGGTCCAATTGTAATTTAAACAATACAAGACATATGTTTGCTGAGTAAATGTTTATTTATCGAGGCTCGGCAGTTTGGGGACTTTTTTGCTTTAAGAAAAATTCGTAGAAGAATGTGTCAAAGCAAACCTTAAACTGTAAACGGCTTTTCCGAGATCGTCCGTATCTGCTTGTATGAGATAATGATAATGGCATTCCATAAAGCATGCGCATACGTAAAATTAGAACGGAGGCTGTATAATCGCTGCGCGTGCGCTTCTGATGCAGCGTGGTTTTGATTTTGGCGTCAGTCGCATAGGTGTAGTTGCGGTGGACAGACGAGTCGACGGCGCGCCTGCAATCACGCTTTCTCGAACGCATTTACGATTTAACGATATATATGATATAATTTTTGTGAGACGTGAAGAAAGTGAACATTAAACTGATGTATTAAACGATCACTGTTATCATGTCCGGCTGAGAATTTAGTATTATTTGTGTAGAAAATTAAAATCTGTCCAAATGAAGATGACTGTAAATCGCATAAGGGTAGTTGTGCTTGGGAGTCCAAGAAGCGGAAAATCAGGTTAGTTTATATTTATAACAGTTATATTTTATAACAGTTAATGTTAGTAAAAAATAAAATAAATGACGTGTGTTGAAGTTAAAAATTTAAAATATAAAAATAATATAGAAAATGATATGAAAACATATAATTTAACATATTTGACAAATATTTACGTAACTTTTTTAACCTACACTGATCCAATTACAATTGAAAATTAATATAATTTAAATATTATTTCCATATCATGTAAAATGTGTACAAAAAAATATAGTGTCAGTTTTAACAGAGAATAATTATTCTCAATTTATAATCAGAAAAAAATATGTTAGATATTTAAGAATAGACTCAAAATTAAACTCATCATTAATAAATAACAAATTAACCAAAACAAAATATTGATACGTAATGTTAGTTTCCATTATTTTCTTTTAATTATATTATCTATATGACAACATGGTATACATTCCAATCACATTGTTAATATTACTGACAAGGTCGAAATCCCATTGTTTTATATCAATATAAACTTTGTCGTGTTATCACTGCATTCCAAGGGTTTAACTGTCTCATCTAACAATTAAATTATATTTAAATAATGATAAATAAATAATAAAATAATAATAATAAATGTCAATAAAATAATGTAATAAATTAATTAAATGATTGGTTCTTATAAATATTTTTGTATATTAATTAGATAAGTCCTTTCAATAAAATTTTTTTTTAATTAGTTCAAATATTTATTTTTTAATTTTTCACTGCAATTTTTGTGTTCCATATTTTTTGACTTATATATTTTGTTTCATAAATCAAAAAAAATCATATATTATTCTTCACAAAATTAACGTTCTATAAATGTAGTAGAACTTTAACAAAAATTTTGCTATGGCACTAATTCATTTTGACATAATGCACCCTACGGTATCTGCAATCGGAGAATTTTATGGTAGATTTTCCTTGCTGAAGAAAAAAAAATTACAATTGCAATCGATCCTTATCCTGGATATTTAACAGTAAATACGTATAAGCTATTATGAGTCTAGTTACTGTTAAGTTAAAAGAAGTGTCCGCATAACTTAATGCAAGACGTATATGTATGTACGTACATGTCGATCAACGACCTCGGTAACTACGGGACGTTAAGTTACACAACACTGGCGCCAGTTGACGGGAAATTGCTGACCCAAGTCAAGCGAAGTCGCCAAGTAATTGCAGCGCCCTAATTGCACCCTGACTGACTGCCTTTGCAAATCATTACTAGTAGATCCGACGTGCGAAATTGTTTCTTTTTTTTTTAGCAAAATGTAGTGACCGAGTAACATCGTTTGAGTCGTATTTGATTGTATGTTTTTTTTTATTGTTTATAAGACTAGTTTATAGGCTTCGATTCTATACGGGTTTTATACTTAAAACAAAGTTGTGGCTAAAAAATCTCTTAAGAATTTTGTGTGATCTAAACTACATTGTTAAGTGATATGAAAAAATATTTAAATCTTTAAAATGCTCAAACATTATCATTATGTACAGGTACGTCGTATTTTTTAATACTCTCTATTAGTAAGATAATTTAAAAAATACAGTTAATTTGAATTTTTATATAGTTGTTTGAGTATTTTATAGGTCTGTTTTGTTTCGGAGGTCCTTAATTTATTTCGGTATTCTTTTCATCTCGAAATGTTACTGCGAACGTTTCGATCGGTCGTCGCTCATTGAGTGTGATTAAGGTCAAGGTTTGACACCGACTCATGTAAAATATCTCGTTACATATTATATTACAATTTATTTCTGAGATGGGGTCAGAAATGCGATAAAGACACATAATTTTCAATGACTATTATGTAAAATTACATTTTTTAAAATATTTTTTTGTTTTAATAATCAGTGTATACTCACGTAAATTATACATATTTACAATTACTTGCATGTTTTCGAATTTTTATATATATTTCGAAATTTAGCACAATCAGATCCGTATGTCACTGATATACCCAGTTATTGAATTATTAAATATTATGTAGAATTATAAAATAATCATACTGTCTGTTTTTGTTCAATTATAAAGAAACCTTTTAAGTAAAATGAGGTAAAATAAGTTAATTTTGTTTCAATTTGTAGTTATGTATAGTTTTAGTTTCTATGCACTCTATTAATATACATATATAAAATATATATTCAATTTCATAATCTAATATTTCTATTGAGTACGTGAAAATTATTAGCGGGACTATAGAAGTTTTCATAATACCAGCTATCTTATTACTGTCAGCGTTTATATTACGTGCTGGGACATTTGATGGATGGTACCAGTAATCTATTAATTACTGATAGATTTTAGTCGATACAACACTTATTGTACTCTGTAGCAGACCATTCATCATGGTTCTCTGTGCCATGTTGTTTTACCACAACAATTTGTCTTATACGCTCCAATGAATTTAGTTATATTTTTAAGTAAACGACCGGCTAAAGTTCAGTAGAAGCTTGAATGAATGTGCGTTGAATGTTTAAAATTAAAACGTAATCTGATAACAGAGAAAGCATACTGTTATTACTCAATGGAGGAGAGAAAAAGATATAAAAATATTCGAAATCGACAGTCATTTTGTATGTTAAATGGTCGATTATGTTCAATATTAATGATTTTTAGTCAGATTCTTAATGTTTTCGAGAGAGTAATTTTACCTTAATTCTTAGTAAAATTTTCTTTTTTAAATACTAATATGGTTGAACGATATTACTCATGAGATAATTAATTAGCTCCATACTGGATATTCGATCGTTTATTAATAATATTTGTGTATCAAAACATCAATATGGTACCTAATATCAAGTTCATTGTCACGCGGTAGTTGGCCCCGGTTGCATAATATTGTGGCATTAGTTTGATGTAAGCCGATTTACTGTCAACCTGAACGGTAACAACGCTAACTCTCCGAAGAAATATTCCACGTCGCAGCAAATGACTCATAATAATAGCTGTTATAGAACACAACAAAGCTCTACCAATCGTCAATGCAATGAATTCACTTTGCAGTACCTTCGGAATGGATTATTGTGACTTGTGTACACTATTACGATGACATAAAATGTTTTCCATTTCTGATTTTGCATTCAATGTCCGTATAAATAGCTATTTAGGGAAGAAAAAATATAATCAATAATTCATCGAAATTTGTGAAGTCAAGTTCTATATTTTATACTTAGTAATTGAGAATTACGCGGTCCTAACAATATTCTTCAACGTTAAATCATAAAAGCAATCTGTCTTCCGCGTGTAGTGCTTAGTTTATATTATAAAACACATCATTAGAATGTCCAACTATAATCCATCAAACAACTGAGAACATGTCTCGTTCGTTCAAGCATTGTCAGAGAAGCAATCAGCTTTTTGAATGCATGCACTCCTTTTGATATGCGGCTAGGATTTTCCACACTTCATTTTGTTGGGTGCCGGTAGCCGTGGCCATTCAAACAATGTGCCTCGTCATCCTTACTGATTGTAGACACCCTTAAATAAGAATTCAAGGAGTATCACGGGGCCAATACAAGACTAATCAATAGCACGACCACTAGAAAGTTAGGAGCATTGACCCTTTGATGACTTTTGAAGTAGGAAAAAGTTAGTTGCGTCTAAGTAGTACTATTTATATACGTGTATAAAAAAATATTAAATGTAATTATTGATTATTTTATAAATTTTTCTTTGTTACAGCAGTGGTAGTGCGCTATCTAACAAAACGTTATATCGGAGAATACAGCTCAACAGGAGGTAAGATTAACACTTTTATATACATTGATGAATTAAAAATTTTCTCATACTTTAAGTAACATATATCACTTTTGTTTTTTACATATAAATTTAACAATTAGTCTTCAAAAATCAACATAATGGATATAAAATACGTCAAGAGATAACGCAAAACAATCTGGTTTTGTAGAAAATACCGCTTCCTTCCGACCTTAAAATAATGTACGTCAGAGACATGACGTTAAACGGTTAAAAAGAAATTGGATTAATTGTTTTTACATAACGTAAAAGTATTGTAACCGAGTTTAAGTAGGAAGGCGCCGAATGAGAAAAAGCGAGAATTAATGTCACTTGTTATTAATAAGGTCAATGATAAAAAGGAATGTTATTATCTTGTTTTAACATTTTTATCGATAGTAGCTGAATGTAAAGACGGATTTATTTTTTATTATAATGGTTTTTTGATGTTCAATAACGGTTACGGATGATTATTTTAGTATATATTTTATTTTATATGTATTATCTTTATCTTAGATTTCCTGTATCAACATCGTGTTGCCTTCGATGGCGCTGTTTCAGAGGTTGAGATACTGGATACGTCTAATTGTGCGGTAAGTTATTTTATTTATCGCTGTCTGACGATTGACATATCTTAAAATTTTATATCTGTGTTATTTTTTCAAAAACATATCTAACAAGGCAATGGTATAACTTTAACTATTGGTCAAGTATTTTTAATATACTTCAAATTTTGAAGCAAATTTGAAGAATATGAAAAATACTTGACTTAACAAAAAAAAAAAATACACTCTAATACTAGATAGGCTATAAAGGAAAGTTTAAAAATAGAGTACCTACCAATCTATAGCTTCTTATATTCTTTAATTTTAAAATTTCAAGTTTAATTGTACACACTGAAATATATTTTTTTATTATGCAATTAATTTAAAACACGAATCTCTATTACGGTGCTTTGATAGATATTGTAATAAGCTTGAATAATGCATAATCAAGAGATAGATGGGTTGAAACTTAATTTAGTGGCAAACAATGAAGATGTTAATCTGACGGGTTAGCTTGCGGCGTCGTTTGATGTACTGCGTACGATTTAATTACATGAAATTTATTACAAGGTTCAACTAGTAACTCACTGAAGGGATTGTATGATAAATTCTATGCCGGAACAAGGAATTTGTAAAATCGAATCGCTGTTTCGTTACGTAAACATGTAATTAAACTACTTCGTCATTGTTGAGATGCAGTTGATAGGGTGTACTGATTAATTTGAATAAACTTCCATGGGTTAACAGATTTTATATCAATCTGTCTCATTTATCGAATAAAATCTAGTTAATCACTTATAGATACTGGTAATAGTTCAAGTATTATTGGGACTACGATTATGATAACTTGTTACAACTTACAAGGGATGTTAAATTGAATTCTATTATTATATATCTAATAAATGTTTTCGTTTGTATAGATTCGTGGTTGTCTAGGCGAGCACATACGTTGGGGGGATGCCTTCGCCGTCGTTTACTCTGTCTGTGAGCGACGATCGTTCCTTGCGGCAGCGGAGATACTATCGTTGTTAGAAAGGACCCGCCTGCCCAGCTGTGCTGCTGTCACACTATTGGGCAACAAACGTGACCTCGAACACGCCAGGTTAATATACAAAACTGTCAATCCAATTCATTTATTAAGGCTTTATGCGAATTGCACTGTACTGAGGTACTAATAATATTGTTATATAGGGAGGTCCATGCGGATGAGGGTCAAGAGCTGTCGTTGCGTTTCGGATGTCAGTTCTATGAAGTGTCTGCAGCGGAGTCGTGTGCCGGCGCCGCCCTCGCCTTCCACGCTCTACTGAGAGAGGCGCGAGCGTTGGCACTCTTACTACCAGCGCCCAGGAGGAAACTGGCCGCTTACTCCGTCTCTAAGGTACGACAGAGACACTTACACTATTGAAGTAGGGACAACGAAACGAGATAAAATTTGTAAACAAAAATTGGCACTTAATGCCGTGTTACTTATTATGTATTTTAATTTCAATGAACAGAAATAAACTTATTACCTAAGAAGTTTCATTAGGATTTTAACTTAATTTACAGAATAAACATTTTTTTAAGCCATTATTTTTTTTCAATTTATAGATTTTATTAATTTATGAACACTTTTCTTTTATTTACAGGTAATCGGAACGATATTCGGAAAGAACAGTAAAAGTGTACGAAAGAAACGACCATCACTTAGCATTTAATACATTAATTTATTATATAGAATCCATTTATAGACTGCGTTTAGAATTATAATATCAAAATGTAAATAAAAAAAAGAAGAATAATTCATTTATTAATCGACATACATTGTTATAATATGTAATCGTTTAATATCTTTTATCGAAAACAGTGGCATGTATGCCTGATCTCTTTAATCTCCTAAAACTTTATTAGTTGTAATATGACGTATGTAAACCCGTCATTAATGCCATCCAGATATTGTAAATATAATAATAATTAAATGTATATATTAATGAAAGGAAACCTCGCATTAATATTGTTAAGTTTTAATTAGGTGTAAATAAACTATTAATTAGTATACACATATACATATATTTTTTATTTTTGACTATAATAAAACATTTTATAGCTATAAAAAATTGGTTTCATTTATGTAGTTGTAATTTTATTTCATAATCGTAATAAAGTTGACAGTTGAAATCGAACAAAGTTTGTTATCGTTTAAATGATATATGATAGGAACCGTTGACCCAAAGCCCCCGAGATTAGCCCCAAGCGTGGGGTTTTACCCCAGATTCTGCCCCATATATCTTTCAAAACAGACACTAACAAGGTGCAAGTAGACAATAAAACAGTGCAATACTTCCAGCATTGATAAATGTCTATTTCCATTGGCAAAGACAAATAGAACGGCCGGTATTATAATGAGTGTTATTGCAGGCTGGTTTTGTTTGATTCTACGATAAGCTGTTTCATTATATGCTTTTAAATAATTTAATTAGATTTAAAATGCAAATGTTAGATAGAATATCAGAAACGTTAGCCAAGTCTCGAAGGCCTCGGCGGTCGGATTGGACTCGGTCGTAATATGGAAATAGTGTTAATAACAGAGTAGCTAAGTGATTTCACGTCCGCGTCTAGAACGAGTATGCATTGCTGCGAGCATCCACACCCACTCAACATCAGATCATTGATAGCGTCCCAACAAAATATGCCGGTACTAGTTTACATGAGAAAGCTAGCGACAGGTGCAAATTTGAGGCGTATCAGAGAAATTTTGCAATATAACTGGTGATCAATCATTATTTTATTTATAAGATTGGCGGAGCGGAAATGGTTCCATGATCAGCTACTGTGATATCAAGTTCAAGATCGTATTAATAGCTGGCTGTATGAATGGCATAGAGTAATAAATAATAGAGGCAATTATAAGACTTTACAAGTCGTGCGTGGCTAGAGTTACATGCACTGTATTTTAAAATATTATTCTATTTCTCTAATTTCAAGTCATTAATTTTCTACCTCTGTAAATAAATAAGTGTATGTCTGGTTATACCTGAGTGTCTGTTAATATGTATTGACTCAACCAGTTATTTCTAAATATATCAAATGTTTTTTTCATTTGAATTCTTATTTTTTGTAACTTTCAACTAATGATATTTAAACAATATACAATCGATATGAAAAAATATATTTAAAAATTTCTTTACTTATCCTAGATTGCTGTGTTACTATAATTTTTCTTCAAAAATATTATACACAGCTTACGTATAATAATATATCTTATATATAACAAGAATTAAAAATGCAATTTTGCAATATAAGTGTTGCTAATCTCTGAATTGTTAGCTGTTGGATTAAAATTTGCAGCTTCCTTAATAAGCCACAGGTGTTTGAACCGGTAAGATGTAACATACAATCGTTGTGCTGGTGGCGCCAGTATTCCGATCCTGCTTCTAACAGACCGTGAAATACACAGGAAGAGAAAATAAAGCTAATGTATTCAATACATGCTCCTTAATAGAATACCTGAGTCGATTCTTTGAGTACATTTACATGGGATGTATGAAGTATAAGCGTATAATCATCAATTAAGGTTTAAGTAAGTCTTAAAATAGATACTACAGACTTGAGGTTTGTTACGGATGAAAACAAAACCACTTTTATTTTATTGTCAAAAACTTTGTATTGGAATCGAATCTAATAAACAAGAATGTTTACTCGCGCTAGGAATGTCATATAGAAATTGTTGACAAGATTTTATTTTCTTCTACTTTGACTCTTATTCACACAAAAATAATCTTTTTAAGAGTTTAATTTGAAGACATATATCAAGTGAATGATTAAATCCTACGGAAAAATAAAATGTTGTATCTGATATATGTAAGAATATATTCGATTTAAGAACTCACTTATTTGAGGCTTTAAAATTTTTCGTTAAAATAATTAAACATTATATTCACCATATACATAAAGAAAGTCTTGATTTCTGTTACGTTGATAGTTCAATCAATATAAAAATCAAAAGGTTGACCTTTTGGTATGTTTGGGAGTTTAGTGTCAATTACATCAAGTAATGAATCGTCATTGATTAGTAAGTGAAAGCATTTAACATGTAATCATCATATAGGATTCATCTCTTGTAATTATGAACCATTGCATACAAATAGCTACAATTTTACAATCATGATTATCAGAAATAATATAAAATCAACATTTAATCTCTCCTTAATTGCACTTCTTTTAAACGCTTTTCTATGAGTTGTAAGAGTTGTCTTGTTAAGTTTATTTGAACGTAAAATAATGTCAATAATTTTAAATCCAGCTTGTGTATTTTACATTAGATATGAAACCACATAAAGAGTAGAAGTATTAAGTAGAGCTATAGGTACAGTAACGAGACGGTGTTTAATTACAAATACATGCATATAGCGAAAATATTAGCTTAATCTTTGTCGTATGTTCATATTTACTTAATTTTTTTTGCTATGGGAAAACATTCGATTGGAAAAACGTCTCAAGTATGTCCCAACTCACAAATCGGATGTTACGTGACAGGAATGTCTCAGAGATAGATCATGGCGCGGACGCGTTCTTGATATTAATACTGTATCAGTCACTTTCATCTCATGACCACTGGTGTCTTCTAATTGCCGGACGGCAGCATGACTCCACTACGCACGAACGGTTACCTAATGTACAACGACGTCGTGATGAATTCAAATAACATTTTAATATATTTGTTTTTAATGATATTTATTCCTTAAGTTAATTACTAAGGAAAACTAAAGAATTTTGTTATAATAATAAGATGTATGTTAAATTTATATAGTTTAAGACTACATTCAAATGGTGGCTTGAGTTATTATAGATTTCTTACTCATTTTACGAACGAAGTTCAAAGATATTAGCAATAAGTTCATTATAAAAAGTAGTTCTGCTTAAGTAATATAACATTGTATGTAGGGTGCTCTATTAGAATATATTCTGTATATGATAGTGTGGTCAAATGTAAGAATCCGATATTAACGCTAACCGCACAGCGCCCTTGTGCTTACCTTGTCTGCGGGTTATTTGTGTTCTTAGTTACAAATAAAAATACATAGTGTTTTAAGTGAAAATGCATCCTTTACTAGTGATTCAGGTAAGAGATAATTATAGAACAATCATCGCAAGAAATAATTTTAACTCCCGCTGTTATTGTTACAATGTAATGTAACGAACTTAGAGTTTTATTTGCTATAATTTCAATAGATCAGTACTCAATATTACTATTATATTGATTAAGTCACCAAGATTGTTTACAAATATGTAAGGTAAAATTATAATAATAGAAATTTACTTTTATCACAGTCTTATAAGTGGTAAGTTTCATAATATTTCCTCGTCCTGCAAAACTTATTGTATAACATCGAACCGGTGAGTCGAATGGTATCGCTTTAAGCACTAATTGAGTCTAATGTAGATTATCAGAGATCATCTGTCTTGTGTTTGACGAATGATAAGTTGCGGGACATTGGCTCATCGGAGAAAGTGAAATTAACATTTATATAGAATTTCTAGATGTGACTCCGAATATGACAATGGCATTTTAAAATTTTATGTTTACGATCAAACACGATCTCTCTTGTTGATTATATTTGAATTTATTGTTGTTATACGAATTAAATATAATTTTAATGCTTGTAAAATGATTTTTTATAAGGAATTATTAATTTTTTTTGATAATTATAATAAATTTGTTTTTTGTCTACATTTTCGTATTCTTTCATAAAGTGTTACTTTGTAGATGAAAGATATATTTCATATAATGAAATGTTTACGGCCAATCGTTTTCATGGTATTGGAAATAAAATATACATTTACATTTTCCTTGATGTTGCCATATAAAATGTAACTGTCTTTAATCCAATAGTAAGTGCAATTTTATTACATCGTGTTCAAATGTTACAATTTTTAGGGTTCCTGTCTCCGATAGTTATTAAAACTCCTTCGATTAAACCTTTTTTTTACATAATATAAGTATATGTCACCTATTAAAAACTCCTTCGTTTAAACCTTTTTTTTTACATAATATACGTATATGTTTGCGTTCATAATAGACCACTTCTAGTATTCCAATCACAGATGTTTACACAATGTCCATCACTTAAACCTAGACGAAAAGATAACACTAAATGGCTAATTTGTATTTGTAATGCACGTGTGTATGTCATGTCTGTTACGTTAAAACACACGACAGTGACCGGTAGCTATCTGAACGATCTGACTTTTGACTTTTTTATGAAACCATCTGACAGTTTGCTATGATATTTATATATTAACAATAATATAAATTGTTAATACATTTTGACCTTGTAGTAATTTTATTATTTTAATAGATCTTAATTAAATCAAGACTTAGATAGTCAGTTTCATTTGTGGATATGTATTTTGAATGGTAAAAATTATAGCATTCGGAAATCTTAGCTGAAAATTATAAAAGTTTTTTCCATCTTTATAAGTAGTTTTAGAGTCTATCCTTGCTAATATTAAATTTTGATTTTGTAATAATTTTAAATTATAAAAATACATACATCTAATTCTATCGATGACATTGTAAATTAAGATCTAAAAACTTTAATTTAGATGACCAGTTTCTCACGGGCCATTAATTACGGAAAGGAAGCTATAAATCCACGGTTAACATTGAAAAGTATGATTTCGTTTGAACCGGATTTGCATTGGATAGAAATAATAT